CCCTGGCCGACATTTCTCGATTTCGTAACGCACATCTTTACTATGAAGCATCGCATTCGTAGTCGTCAACATTGTCGAATCGATAGAGACCGTTTTGCAGAGCACATATGCGGCTCATAGAAATTGAAAGGTTAAAATTGAAATAAATAAAAGAGAGTATTAAAGGAGAGGGAGAGCAACAAATAAAAAATGAATGTACCTTCGATAGGTCAGAGTTGTGAGCTCGACCTAAAAGTCCATAATCAGTTTGTGGTATTTTCACTTGGAGTTAATTTTTTTTTCTCGCTTCTTTGTTGTGCCGAATCGGCACTGCCGATCAAATATTTTGTGGAAAAATAAATGTTTTCAATTTTATCGATGCATATAGATCGTTCAATGTAATACCATGCATGGTGTTTGAGTGTGTTTTATTGAAACCGTCTCACTGACGATTCTTAATTGTAACACTTTTATTGCACATTTTGCTCACCATGCAATCAAGAAGCATGCATACAGCGACATACGGTTGAAAGAGAGACAGAGATAGAGGGAGAGGTGTCCCTTTTTTCTAATTAGTATGCGTAGTTTGAGTAAACAAAATTCTTTGCATTTCATTTCGAATGGCGTAAATGACACTCATGACCATTCGATTCACAGGCAATAATTTATTCACAATGTAACAAATAAAGCAAGAGTGTTCAGAGAGGCTTGACTTTTATTTGGTGTTAATTCAAACGACAGATCGAAAAAATACATGCTCTGCATGCGCGTCAAGTGATCTTGCCAATTTGCAGGCATAAATATATCGATTGAGTCAAGTCACCCGATTTAGATAAATTGGTTTAAATAAAAACAGAGTCTATGCAATAAATGCATAAATAACAAATGTAATGCTCATTAAATCACCTCTGAAACTACAAAATCACACAACTCTTCGTGAAAAAATGGAGTTTCTTGCAAATTCTTCCGTCCGCTTCAAAGTTCCATCTGCTTATATTGTATCAATATATTCTAGAGTCTTTCATCATGTAGCGCAGCAAAAAACAAATTAACAAATCTATTTCGTTCAAATTTTTGTACATATTTTTATACATATTTTTATACATATTTTTACTGTGAAAATAGTGTCATGTAAATCCAAAATAATAATCAATCATACCTATCTTTATTATTATTATCGATCGATTAGATGTAATCGATGTTGAGACGGTAAATGTTTTATTTGTGTTTGGGAAGTAGTGGCTCTGCCATTCATAATGAAGAATATCCACATTGCCGCCGCTTACATTCCACATTTACTTCGTCGAAAAATGAAAGTAGAAACATAAAACCCATTGAGTTGTAATGCGATAAATGAGTTTAGTTGCGCTTGCGATCGATCAGCTTTAGATTTGAGTAGACATAAAATCGTAGTGTCACATGTATTGGCGCATAATCACCTGCATATTATTTAGTCATTACTTTAAAACGAAATAAATGTATGTGTGCGCGCGATGTATTTATAATCTAAAATGTGACCAAACTCCCATTCAATAAATGATCCAACGAATGCATTTTCTTTTCTGTACTTTTGCGCAATTGCATAACATTTTCATTTAAATTTTTACTGTTTCTGTGCGATTTTGACCATCCAGACAAGCGAAAAAAAAAATCACAACAAAAATGAGTAATGTGAAGCATAACAAATTATATTATCATTTTCAATGACGAAACTGGTAAACAATGCTGTTTGTTACCAGCATCATGTACTATTGACTGTTGACACGCAAGCACCGGCAAATAAAAGTCAAAGTGAGTTCATCATTCATTCGACCAATTCAATTTGATTGAATTCAAATTAACTAATTACAGATTATGCGATAATGGAGCGTTTGCGTTTAGTTTAGATGAACCGTTATTTTTTTCCCTTTAGAATATCATATTTTTGTGGAGACTAGAGAAACAAAAATTATATGAGTAAACATCATTAGCCAGGCAAATTGATAGACGGTGATCGCAAAGGGAAATAGCGCCAAACAAACACTTTCAATTCGTGAATATGATTGGTGAAAATTGTCGACGGTCAGTCGAATGAAAGTTGCTCATTTACATTTTTTTCAATTAATCTTGGCATCGCGACACTCTGTCAAAAAAAAAAGAAATGGTCTAAGACGGCATTTACGCCAGATTACATTTCTTCATTGCTCCAAATTTCCACAAAGCAAACTTACGCAACCAATCACTACTTCGGTAGGTAAAAGTCGTGTGTATGTTTACTCGGTTTCCGAAATGATAGTTTCTTAAGAATATGTGCGAATTGTGTAGATCGTAGTACGACACATACGCGTTGTTATGCGATCGCATACTCATCGTGTAATATTTCAATGTGTACTTTATAGGCTTTCCAGACTCCAATTAGGCGATCAACAGCAAATTCAATGAAATACGCAACCGTACATCGATCGCACTTCATAAAATATGATTAATCGCTCTGGACGAATCCAGATTACATTTACCGCGACCTATACAAAATAAAACGTGCTGCCAAAATGAATTGAATTTTATGATGGCCACAATGTAAAATTGCATAAAGTCCACAATGACTGATCGATGTCGGGCATTTTTGTCTACGGATCATAAACATTTTTTTTTGTTGTTTTGAAAAACGATTTTTAACATAAACGTTCAAATCTGTGATGTTTTCGTAATTTAAATGCGTGACTTATTTGACTCACTGGAATATTATGTAAAAGAAAAAAATATTAAAAACGGCAAAAGAAAAACTAGACCTTTGTAATAATCCACATTCTAATTGCTAAACAAATTTTGGAGCGAAAATACTTTTTTCAACTTGAATTGCTGCTGAAAGTTAGCTGTTTACATTACGAACCGAAAACTTCAATTTACAAAACCAAAATGCATATTCACGATAGAAAAAAGGAGAAAAGATTACAAAATATAAAGAATGCGGAAGAAAGAATGCAATTTTAATTGAAAAAGAATAGAATCCAGCCAGACAATGAAGTTCCCTTGATAGCTATAAATTGTTCTGTTATCTTCGCTGGATCTTATAGATTCGGAAGTAAACGCCTATACTTAACGCCAAACCACCATCCATAGTATGGCAATGCATAGCGAAAGTGCTGTCCGATTTGTAAAATGATACAAATTCCATTTCCACTTGGCTTCCTTTTGTTTCCTATTGAAGAAGAAGAAAAAAATAAAGCCGTACAATATGAACAGAGACGATGTATTTAGGAAATAATGTTAAAAGGCAAATTGAAAACAGAAACAGAACAACTTATGTATGCAAAGTATCATGAATCCCAAGAAAGAAAAAAAAATACACACAATCAACAAATTATATGAAATTACATACTTAAATCGTCATAATAATTTCTAAACGATACTTACATACATGTAATTACGTGCTGGTTGTTATCAATGTCTTGCTTGATGTATCATCAAGCTTCAAAATCGTTTTCGGTTTGTTTTTGGCACGCATAACTTAAACAAGCCAACCATCAACGTGAAACTTAGTTTTTTCGGGCTTTTGAGCCCAATCCATTTTTTTTTTCTTTTTAGAACAATTATCTTATTTTCCATAAAAAAGAGGTTTTCCCAAAGAATTTGTACGGTAATCGCAGAAAACTTGATTGAAAGTTATAAAAGTGATTAAAATTGCTCAGTTGTCCGCAGACCCTCCATGGGGTTCAGATATATTTTTTGAATTCAACTCATTGATACATTAAGCATTACATCCATGTAAATTGGTAGTGTATTTCATTTGGTTCGTTTCGTTTAAAAAGGCATAGCCAGAGCATCCGATATGTGTACGCTGTTTGTGTGCATGGGGTGCACTCATTGTACACACTTTTGCTATGTAAATTAAAGCTTCTATTTCTGTTCAGCACTAGTTTCTTTTGTTGTTGTCATCGTCTCTGACGTCGTTAGCCATTGCATAAAATGGCATAAAATTCAGGTAACAGTGGCAGACTAATCGAGCCAATCTTACCGTCTATTTATGTTTTATGTCTGGGTAATAAATATAGCATGTGTGTGTGTGTGTTTTGTCTCGTGCAAATAATTAGCATTTCAGTCAAAACGAAAATCTGCACTTGAAATTGCATTGAAAACGGGCGCTGAATCCAATTTTAAATCATCGTCATCATTGAGTGATGTGCCATTTCGAGTATTTATTTTCTCTTTTTTTTTACTCTTCCTTATTGACTTTCCGCTTGGCTACTATACGCACCAGATGCATGTTTCTTCAAAACAAGAGAAGAAAAAAAGACGAGAAGATAGTTTACAAATCAATTACCACATGCAATCATTTAAAAGAGCATTTTCGAAAGAGATTTTGATGTAATAAATCATTTTGTGATTCTATGTGTCATTTTATGGTTGAACATTTATTGCTGTTGACGAGCCACGTAAACGAGCAAACAATTTTAATAGTTAAGATAGACATGAGTTTGCCACGATTTTCATTCGAAAGTTTGCAATTTACTTCTTTTCAAGAAGATATTATTTCACATACACACACACACACACACACGATTGCCGGTAGTTTAAACTATTAGGCACCATTGCATAATTTTGACAAAGTAACGAAGAAACATACAATGTTCACACGAACTTTGAAGTGGATTTTCGTATGTTTAAACATTCAAAGAGCAATTGAGCACATCAACAACAATTTTGATGTTGTTTAACTTAAACATTATGATCACAAAAGCTAGTACACATTCAAAGATAAAAAATCACTATAATACTAAATAATCATACCGTTCAAGGTGGCCATGTTACCAATTTAGAAAAGCGCGTGTGCCAATTAACCGTTTATTGATTTTGTTTTTGATGCAAAAAAAAAATCGTTTTAAACGTCGACTTTATGCTTTGAAAGTAAATGCCACTGCACTCTCAAGCTATAGCGATATACACAAAACAAGTGCGGATAATTTCAGTAAAATGTAGCCAAAATTCGTTTTCTTTTTTGTTCAAAGCCTCAACTAATGGTTTTCAATTTTGATTTATTTCAGGTGATATCGATGATTGTATCGTAACTCCGACCGTGCAAGGACAGTTTACACCATTGCCGGAGGCTCTTTGCGACGTCATTATGGATTTGACGTCGCAAGGACAGTCTGCCACAATTGAAAATATACGCGTCAAATTATCAGTGCGGTAAGTGTTCTAATCTTTAAAGGTGATCTTTTATCTACTTTGCATTATTTTTTCGTATATATTAACTCATTATTTTTACTGCAATCACAAATCAGGTTTCCACATATGCAACAGCCAAGCAATGAAATGATTTACGACAGTCTAGCCCAATTGATGCAAGAGAAAAAGATCTATCAAACAGCTAAAGGATACTTTATAGTGACACCTGAGTAAATATAGTCCCTTTAATGTGATTGGAAAATTCCAATTTTTTTTTTTTGAAATTAATTGAGCGAATTCTTTGGTTATAGGCGAAGGCGAAGCAGATCAAGACCACGAAGTCAACGCGGATTTCCCGATAATTTTGAAGAATCAATGGAACCAACCGATGCAAGAACCATTTTAATGACAAATGCTGAAGCCGTACACAATTTATATGGTGAAATTTCAACGGAACGTGACGGCGATTTAACACATCAATGCATTCAAACAAATTTAGCTGATGTCATTTGTGGAGGTAGTAAACCTTTTGTTTTGCATTATTATATACAAAATAATGGCTGGTGATAATATAATTTCATTGAATACAGGTAATCCCAATGACAAAGTAATTTATGCAAGAACATCAAAACGACGAAGTGCATCATTTCCAACGCCACGTAGTTTGGATCGTCGTCATAGTCTGCGATTGTTTGGTTCATCAAAACGATTACAACGATGCGCATCAACGAGAAGTCTTTCGAAAAACTATGCACAAACATTGGCATCGAACAATTGTGGAACTGACAGCAGCAGCTCAGAATATCAAAGCACCGATTCATCGTCACCAAGTACGTTTATTAACAGACACCATAATTATGTGATTACTTTGAATTTCATGCATTTTCAATTATTTCGAATTTTAGAAAAGGCTTCTCTGCTATCGAGACTATTTCGGCGCAGTGGACGATCAAAGCAACGTCAAATTGAAACATATTCTGCACAATTTCCGCCAGCTGAATGGTTTAATTCAAAGGCCGTACATTTGCACAGTGTTGGCACACAGACAAGCGATTTGGTAAGATATATTTATCTCAATGATGATAAAACACCAACAACAACTCATTCAAAATGATTAAAATAATTTTCAGGATGCTCCCGATATTAAAACACTTTCGAAGTCAACATTTTATGATGGTGCCGAATTGAGACATCGATCATCAACGCTACCGCGACGTCATCGTCGTCACATGTCCAGTGAATCAACGTTTGTTATTTCATCGCGAGATTGTTCGCCAATTCGTCGACGTTCGCCGGTCTATTGTAGCGGTAGTCTTCCTCGATCAACACATTCAATACCCGCTGCATCGACCCAAACAAAAGTACAACGTACAGTTCCAAGCAAGCATATAATTAACGAACAGAATCGAATTACAGCGAAAAGTGGTGAAATTTATCGAAGTCCTAAGAAAACTTGTACCCTTGATAATCGACTAACAAACGATCGTCATTATCGTTCTGTCAATAGTGGCCCATCAAGCTATGAATCCGGCAAGGCATCCGTTTTATCGGGATTATCAAGCATCGAAGACGATAAAGTGTCATATAGTCGAACAAGCGGACATTCGAGTCTTGATTCACATCCATCGATAAGTACGATTACAACAAATAAAAGTGGTAGCCGTTCATATGCCAATGGAAATTGTTCACCAAAACATCAATTGGGCAAATCAAAATTGACGTTGGACTCAAATGGACGCATGAAATCAACATCAACATCAACCAGCAATGGTCCAACATCACGTTCAGATGATGTTACTGTACCGGTTCTCGGTAAACCACCGATTGGCATACCCAATTCCAGTTCAAACAGTTCAATCACACTTCAGGTTACCACATCGAATGAAAGTCAAATTCCAAACACAAAGATTTTTGTGCAAAATTCACCGGTACGCAGTGTTATCACACTTGAAAATGGTAAACTTTTGGACAATTCAAATGTTTATATTATAAACAATGAAACGACAACAAATGGAAATGGTGAAATTATAAAACGATCCATATCGAAACATAGTTCGCCGGCCAAAATGCGTGCATCATCGAAACGTGACAAAGAAAATGAATTATTGTTGATCGAAAATGATATGGCATCGGAAACATGCGATTCACTGTCATTCATAAGTGAAACATCGCCAGAATCAAGTATAATGCCAACACCTACGCCCGAACCATTTGCCACCGATTCAATTGAAAATTGCAAATTTACCAAGAACGTAAATAACGATGCCACCATGAATAATGGACGAAAATTCTCGTTGCCCATATCCAATACAAATAGTAACATTGTCTATAAAAATGTATTAAAAAATGTGAATGACATTAGTCCATCGTCACCGTTGAACAATAAAAATGTCTTTACATTGGATGAAATGGTTGTGGAGAAAATCGAAACAATCAATTTGGAACGTAATACAATTGCCGGTTCGGTTGGTAATCTTCGGTTCATCGAGAAAAATGAAAAAATCATCAATTCAAATTGTGATTTGAAGATGTCACCATACGAATGTGGTAATATGACAAAATTAAATTCAAATCCAGCCATCAATACCGATTCCATTGCGCAAATTTTATCGAAAAATATGATTGCCGTTGGCAGTGAACCAAATTTGGCCATAAATAGTAACGGTGATGGTAAGCAAAAAATCAACAACGGCGATAAATCAATGGACAAAGAATCGGTCGATCGTCGATTCAGCGTATCGCGTGAGAATAGCATTAATGATCGCGATGAACTGTACAATTTTCCAAGTTTAAGTGATTTGAGTTTTAATTTCACATCGTTGGCCGCACAAAAAATCCTAAAAGGTGTCAGCATCAACAGCATCGATACATTAGTCGAATTGAATATGGCACAAGAGAAACAACAAAATAACGTATCGTCTACAACTGCCGCCCAACCACAAGCAATTTGTACAGACTATGGAATGGTTTAAACGAGATGAAGAATTCATGTTTTTATCGCATTTCGTGTGACCGTATTTCGATTCATCTTTCTCTTCGTAAATTATCTTCATGCTCTGTTCGATTTTATTCATCATTTAGTTTTAATTCTTCAATAAACAGGAACTTTAGCTCTCAAATGGAATTGAACAGCAATAAAAAAAATTAAGTAGTTCTTTTTTTCATTTAGTCTACAAATTCAATGCGGTTATTCTCAATGTATTTGGGAAGATTCACATTGTCGATGTCCATTTTTGGATTTAGAAAAAAAACTGTTTATTTTACACACGTAAAAGTACATTTTTATAGCATAGCTAGTAATTGAAATTAAAAACGATTTAGAAGTATACACATAGATGACACTTATATAGTTTTTCTTATTAGATATAAAGGTGGCATTTTATTATGTTTTCCCCTGCAATTTCACGCAAACGAAATCGTCCGCAGAAGAAAAACAATTATGCGTCTCACGACGAATCTGATTAATTGATCGAAGATTTTGTGGCCAGATAGGCCACATGGTCGTGTCAGTACTTTTGTAAAATGCCCAAATACATTTATTAGCAATTATTTAAAGATTTTATACATACATACATATATGAATATATATTACGTCAGTTCGATAAATACAAGTGCCAAATTTGCAAATTTTTATGCATTTTTATTTGTTGTTTTATCAAAATAAATCAAAATAATTTTACGAAATAATTTAATTTCCTTCTGTCAAATCAAATGAATCATCCGAAAAATCCAGAATAATCGATATTTTCATCATATGACAGAAGAACGCGTTGAAAAGCAATACTATTATTTTCATTTGTACATTGCAATTTAATCGATAACATTAACACGTAGATATGTAACGAATTAACTTTGTAAATTCGTATTATTTTCTATATGAAATTGAACGAAATAATGTAATAAAATATATAACATCAAATATTAAAAAAAAAATGTTTTCTTAAACATCATCAGATGTTTGAACGTTAAGAAGTGTAAATGAAGCACCAAAGTTTCTTAAAATAGATCATTGCACAATGTACTGTAGGTTACTTATTAGCCTTTTCAAAAGAATTTTGATAACAATAAGGACTTTGTAATCACCATCGTTCGCATTATTGGATTCTTTTTTGGAACAACATTTTTAGGTTTCACCGAAACAATTTATAATGGAAATGTTCATAGATGCAAAAAAAATTACCAAAGTGTACTGACGGCATTTATAGAACAATATATATCAAGCCCGGACATGTGATTTTTATTTTAAACTATTAAAAAGGAATCAATTTCCCCATTTTCAGCTGAGTTTCAAACTAGTAATGTGGAAAATATTCCTTCTGATTTGCTTTCGGAATTTATTTCAAATTTTTTGTATTCGGTCTTTTGCACCTCTCCTACCCCTTTCACATTATGATCAATGATTGATCACACTGCGTAGCTACAATAAATTGCCATTGAAAAGACTTTAACAGTAATATACGCCGCCATAAAAGATTACATTTTAGTCGTTATCAATTTCACCTTAAATCTGTTTCAAAAATTCATTTATTCATTTTTGAAGATTTTCGTACATTTAAAAAAATTACAAGAACTTTTTTTTCGTCAAAAAATAGTAATAAAATGTTTGTATTTGTCGAAAAGATTTTTTTTATAAGAAATACATGGGCAATGGGAAATGGACAAGGTAAAGAAGAGCGATGGAGATAAATACAAGCATACGATGTATAAGCAGTTTACTTTTGAGCAACGATCAAGCCATGAATGATAAACATTTCAAGGCGAAGTGATAACGAATACGGATGAAAAATTGGCGAATAACAGCTTATTTTCAAATATGACATCAAAGTCAACTTCTGGAATTTAAATTCATTGTTACGCACGTAACATAATTCTTGTGTAAATAATATTTACTAAATATGACCTCTTTTGTATGAATATGAACGTTATTCATTACATTTAAATCGTTTTATGACGACTGTAAATACTCTTAACACAATAGAAACAAAACTAGCGCCACAAATCATCTTTAACTATCATAAAATTCATCTGAAGAATGTTATCAAAGACAATACTAAAAGGCATTAATTGTTAACGAACTACAAACTACACAATTGTGCTTTTCGACAATTATATATACGAGACATATTCAATTTTGAACTCATTTGAGTGGAAACTTTTCAATTGAAAGTTGCATAAAAATCGAGCTTTTTCCAAAGGAAGAAAAAATGAATCGAAAATTATTCGTACTATTGTTGACTAAGATTGTCATTTGCGGGGTAAGTTACAATTCGGGGTCTTAAGTTTTATTCACATGCCTTGAGAATTGACAATTCATATCAGTCATGTCACATTGAATCAATAATCATCTTCTTACAGCTTGGCTTTGTCAGTGCTGAGGGCAATTTGAGTTTTTCTGACAAAGTAATCATTGTAACTGGTGCCAGTTCCGGCATTGGAGCCGATGCTGCCATACATTTAGCAAAGAAAGGTGCCAGCATTTCATTGATTGGTCGAAATGAGAAGCGATTGAATAATGTTAGTGAGGAAATCAAAAGCGCCGGAGCACCAACACCGTTAATAATATTAGCAGATGTCACAACAGATGCACAGCGAATTATTAACGAGACAGTAAATCATTTCGGGAAGTTGAATATATTGATTAATTCTGCTGGTGTAGCCAAGATGAATAATGCCGAAAATGTCGAAATGGCTGACTACGATTTGTTAATGAACATCAATGTGCGCAGTATTGTTGAACTCACGAAATTCTCCATTCCACATTTAAATAAGACCAAAGGTAATATTGTAAATATCGCAAGTGTCTTTGGAATTCAAACACCGCATAATAGCTATGTGTACGGCATTTCAAAAGCGGCTGTTATTCAACTAACCAAATCTGCTGCAAAAGACATGGCTTCAAATGGGATTCGTGTGAACGCGGTCGCGCCAGGAATAATTCGCACACGGTAAATATTTTTGCTAAATATGTATCCTTGTTTCTTGTTGCGTCAATTAAAAAAAAAACTAAGGAAAACGCTTGTGTTTCATATAATGCAAAAAAACCCTCTGAAACATATTTACGACTGTTTTAGCATGGTGGAAACGTCGACGGGTTTGACATCAGAAGAAGCTGATCAATTTTTCGATAAAAACGGTAAGGCATATCCACTTGGTCGTGTTGGCGAAGTAGAAGATACATCAGCGGCAATTGAATATCTAGCCAGCGATGTGGCCTCCTTTGTCACAGGAACCATATTGACGGTAGATGGTGGAGCGTTAGTGGGAAATGTTGATCTAGTAGTATAAAAGCATGTAGATGCAATCCATACTGATGGTGAGCAATGTTTTTGTATTAAGAAGGCTTCACATTGTCGATTGACCATTTTTAGATTTAAAAAAAAAACTGAATCAGAATATTTCATAACAATATTTACGTTATAATCACAATCTGCTGCATTATTGGATCATTTTTAAGTTTGATTTTATTTTTGTGATGTTAATCCTAAAGAATTAAAATAAAATGATTCAGACCACAGATAGAAGTAATGATTACTGACCTCATTTATTTTGTTTTTGGCCGTCATACATTTCTGGTAAGCATATGTGTTTTCGTTTAATTTCTTCACCGTCCATTTTCAATAAACTATCTTTGAAATCCGTTTCAATGAAAATCCATGAATTTTTCATTTTTAATCTTTCTCAAAATATCATTTTTCTTGTTGTAGGCAATTTCAAAAAGTTATTCGGTAGTCAGTATTTTTTAGTAAAATTTACCGAACGAGTGTCTTTATGAAATGGTTTCCTGTATTCATCAATATACTGTTCGCATAAATATGTGTCGCCCTCTGTTGATCTTTAAATGATTTTAATCCGAATGGTTTCAACAATTATCAATTCGAATTTTAAGCAAAAAATAAATAAATGAATACAAAGTATGGTGTTCAATCAATTTATTGTTTTTGTCGTTGTTTGCAACATAATATGGAGTTTTTGTTTGCATCATTTATTCAAAGAACGCATAATAATTTAACAGATTTGTTAGTTTACATAAATAGAATGAACTTATAGTACACTCATCAAAATTGTTTTTATCTGCTTTAATTTTGGTATGTGCGACCATGATTATAATAATTTCAATCAAAAATATGTTTTTTTTTTAATTATGTAACCACATATAATACAGAGTTTTATATAGTCTTGATCACATCATCTAAATCCGTCGCAATCGATACACTTTGTGTCATTTTGGGATAGGTAATTTGAAGAATTTATTCAACATTGCTGAAAATGATAAGAAAAAAATATTCACATTAAATTAATCGAGTCAAAAATGAGTAGCTTTAAGTGATAAAAAAGGATGTTCAAGCAAATTAGATACATACACAATGCGCATGGTGTTGGTGAAGCCGGAACCTTGTTTCCATCCAGTGACAACAACAACTGGATCGCCGCTCTTGATGAAACCGCGAGCCTTACCGAAACGAACACCAAATTGAACTCGGTCATCAACATCTTTCATCCAATCAGATCCAGCTGGAACTGTGTTTTAAAAACGACATTTATTTAATTAAATTCATTCATGTTTTGAAAAAAGACGCACTAAACTTACCATCATAGGACAATGGCAAAATACCACGGTACAAATGGCATTGACGAGCAGTTTGTGGGAATCGTGTAACAGCGATAATTGGACACCTTGGCTTGTATTTGGAAACCAAATGAGCTGAGCGTCCGCTTGTTGTAATAACTAAAAAAAAGACCAAAATACACAGAATATTAAATAATGAATCAAATGCATTTTGAATGTGAATTGAAATGTAAGGAATTAAAAAGTGAGTTTTTTTACCGATAATGGCGGCGGCCGATGTTTTGGAAGATGCTTCAACTGTTGCGATGGCAACGGAATGGGCGGCATCAATTGGAGTTGGCACGGTTGATACCAAATCATTGAAGAGACTGTGTTGCCACAAAGCAGCTTCGGCTTCTTTGGCGGTCTTGGCCATGGTCAAAACACACTCAAGTGGATATTCACCTTTGGCAGTTTCACCCGACAACATGACGCAATCGGCACCATCCAAAACAGCATTGGCAACGTCGGAAATTTCAGCACGTGTTGGACGTGGTTTCTTAACCATTGATTCAAGCATTTGTGTTGCACAAATAACTGGTTTTCCTTGACGATTGCACTTGGCAATCATAGCTTTTTGTGCCAAAAACACCTTTTCTGGTGGAATTTCAATACCCAAATCACCACGAGCAACCATAATACCATCAGATGCTTCGATGATTGAGTCCAAATTTTGCATTCCTTGTTGATTTTCAATCTTTGAAATGACCTTAATGTGCTTTCCCTTTTCACCCAAAACATCACGGATTTCCTTCAATGCTTGTGCATTCCGAATGAATGAAGCGAAAATGATGTCAACACCTTGTTCAACACCGAATTTCAAATCGGCCTTATCTTTTTCGGAAACAGCTGGCAAATCGACTGGCACACCAGGCAAATTAACACCTTTTCGTGAACCCAATGAACCACCATTTTCAATTGTGCAGGTCAATGTATCGGCGGTTACTTCATTAACAATCAATGAAATTAAACCATCGTCAACGAATACACGGTTGTTCTTCTTGACAACATTTACAATGTTTGCATAATCAACATACACAATGTTGCCATTTCCTTTTTCGGCGTATTCTTTATTTGTTGTCAACTTAATGGTGCCACCACGTTTAAGTTCAATTTCAGCGCTACCGCCACCTTCCAACAATCCAGTGCGGATTTCTGGGCCTTTTGTATCTGTAAATTTGATTAAAATTAATAGAATGTATGAAATTGAAATAAACGAAAAATATTCTTATCAAAAAAAATTACCTAAAGCGATAGCCAATGGATGTTCCAAGCCCAATTTAGCTGAATAGTTTTTGACAGCTTCGCGAACATTTTTAATGGTCTCGGCATGGTATTCGTATGAACCGTGTGAGAAGTTCAAACGGGCAATGTTCATGCCAGCACCGATGAGTGTTTCAAGCACTTCTGGGCTCTTTGATGCCGGTCCAATGGTACAAATGATGCCCGACAATCGAACAAATGATACCTTGGAATCGATATCCAATTGGCACAAGTGCTCAAGATAGGTACTGGCTACATTTTGTTTAGTTGCGTTGCTCATCTGTTATCAAATACGTCACAATTACATTGTTAATTTATAATAAAAGTTATCACACAGTGTGCATAGAATAAAATGAGAAAACGAGAGAAAAACTACTGCATAAGTGTAGACACACAAAACACACACACACTCGGTGAAGATTTCGAGAAAACAGAAATAGATTTCCGGATTACAGGTTGTGTGTTTTGTTATATTTTTATAGCCAATATGGTGTCATTATACATATACATGCTCAAAATTTAACGTATCAGGATTGATTCAAACGAGGAAGAAGAAAAAAAAAGAAACGGAACATTGAACCAACTGAGTTCTTATCATGTTATGTAATGTTTGCACATCACAATTCCTTTCTCTTTTGCTGTTTGTGATATGTTTTACGAAAAACTCTTACAATTTACATTGAATGTGAAATATTTCTTTTGAATTCACGCATTGAATGTAAATTATTCGGATTAGAATTGAAAAAGAATATCGCATCGAACAAGCAAATGATACACAATTGATTGCTGTTTTGTAAAATTGGATGACCTTGAAAAGGACATTTCTTGTAGGTGCTTATTTTATTCTTGACATTTAAATTTCCATAAAAAATGCGCTGTGCTTTGTGCCATAAGCGTAAAATAATAATGTTCGATTTGAGGTCACAGTCAATGTGCATTCACACACACTCACACTCGTACGCACTACGGTAATGGTGAATTGTATAACCGCTTTATGCAAATAATTTAAAATATACAATAAGACAATAAAAAAAACAAAATTTAAGCAGTTTATTGAAAGAAATATCACTTCACTCTACCTCTTCGGTTGATTTGTCGTATTCGGTTGGCCAAACCATTCTTGTATTATTTTTGTTTTGTGTTTCTTTTTTCTTATTTCAAAATTGTTAATTTTCTGCCAAGTATGTCTATTACTGTTATTTCTTTGGAAATGATCCCAAAAACAACAAAATGCGATATGTTTAAATGATTATATACGTACAATTAATACAATTTTCACTGCACTAAACGAATTTCAGCCAATTGATTTTGTTAATATCCCACAGTTAAATATGATTAACAGGGAAGTTATTTTCTTTTTGTGTGGTTCAAACAATATGGTTTTTTTTTTATTTCGGGTGCCACTTGGTTTGAGTGTTTTTCAATTTCGGTAGCCTGTGTATTTGACGACAATTAGGTTATATATGTTAATTTGACAAAAGCGGCAATAACGTTCTTTTGCAATCAAAACAGGAAGAAAAAGTCGAACTAACCAATGAAGCCGAATTGGAAGTAGATACAAGCAGATATTCGTAATTTGACTTCAACAGCGAAGGAAATTCAACGAATGCTCGACGAATGTAACCGATTCGCATGTGTGTGTAAATTTATATATATTTGTATATGATGATTGTATGTGGTTGTACGGGCAAGATTCGACGCAAATGAAAATTTGCTACGAAAGAATTTTCATTATTTTATTTGACATATTGGTTACATTTTCGATACATGTGCATTCAACAAATTGTTATCGTTATTATAATCGAGACGTTTACATTTCATTTGGTTTTTAAAAAAAACAATTGTGTTTATTGGATTAATGATGAATATTCAAAATGATGGAAAAAAACGCACGTGCCAACGATATTGCGATAAAAAAATAATAAATATTGTTTAATTTTGGATATGGTCGAGCCATTTCGTTTGCCGAAAATAGAATTTGATGAGGAAAACATGAATTGTCATAACAATTAGTCCATGTAAACAACCGAATCGAATTTATGATATTCAAGCACTTTTCTCTCGTTCTGCATATCATATTTCGTTCTGCATTTTTCAAGTGGATACAGATTTCATCAACGACAGCTTATCGCCGATTCATATAAGAATACACAGACTATACCGTCGCTACCGCAACACTAGTGCGCATTCTCTGATTCTCACTGTCACAACAAGTGACATAACATTAAAATTGAATCGTTTGCATGATTTTCAAAAATAATTCCATCAGTTAAACACCAACTGAATTAATTGATACATTAAATTCAAAGATAAGAAACGTTTTTTTATTGCTATCATTTGCACTAAATTGATGCGAGTACAGAGATATGAAATCTCAATATGTGATAGATAAATGTTGAGAACGATTCCAATTCAACATATTAGGAAATTGTTCGGCAGCAATAATGTGCACACTTTATTTATGCGAAATTATTTCTAATCGATGTGTGAAAAAGCCATTGAATAGAACACGTGATTTATCAAAAGAAATCATGTACACTTCAGCTTATAAAGTGTACAACGCAAATCGATTATCGTATTGATGTGATATATGTCAAAAATGTGAATGACTCATAAAAATACACGCATTTATTATGAAAAACTATATTTTTTTCTTCTTCCACTATAATTTGATATGATTTTTTTTTTAATTTTTTGTCACCAACGGTTGCGAATATGGACAATTCGTGAATTATTGCGCCATAATCGAAAAAGATTTCACACATTGTCTCACGTAATTAGAGGTGACATTGTGCAATAAAAAAAAATCCTATGTATTATATTCTCATTGAAAATCACTAAAACTAACGCGAAGAAAAAAAATATATGTTCACAAAATGAAGAAACGTTGCATTCAAACTTACTTTGGATTGTTGTTTTTTAATTTGTTCTTTCTTTGACGAAAAATGCAAAAGACGATTTATTTATGAACTTAGAGAATTTCCAGCACCGGCAAACAACACGAACTTCAGTGTAGCACTAGTATAATGCCTTAATGCGAGAGAGCTTAGTTCATGCGGTAACCATATTTTCTTGTTGGCTATTTTTTTTACATTGCGCAAGCATGTGTAAGTGATAAACTAGAGAATCGTGTCGTTCACACGATGTGAAACGTAAATGGAACATTACATTTACCATATTTAAGAGAGAGAGATGTTGCGTGCAATTGAAGTTGATTCTCTTATTCAATCATTTATTCATATTTTGTATGTGCAAATTTACTGATTCTCAAGGTCATGCAAGGGTGTCTCTTTTGTCATTCTCATTTATCGTTTCAGTTCATAAGATCAACGGATTGAATGGGATTATTTGCCTGTGTGTATATATCGTGCGTATGTATGCATTTAAATATAATGTTATGCAATTTTTTTGTAATAGATGTCGCCATTAGTGTGAAATTGTCAAAATCTATGTGGAACAGACAGTGATTTTTCGGCTTGACATCTGTTGAATACATTTAGAAGCGTGGTTCTGTTCAAGTTGACAAGATGTTTGATCCAATACTATATACAAAATGCATTGATTTTGCGGCGAAAAAACATCGAAAACAAAGACGACTTGATCCGGAACAAACTCCGTACATTAATCATCCCATTGGTAAATTGTACCCTTTTTTTTCTTTTATGTTGAGCAAAGTGTTTGTCATTTATAAACTTTGTTGCATTTGCATATTTCAGGTGTTGCATATCTATTAACGGAAGCAAATGTCGTGGATTTGAATATATTGATGGCCGCAATTTTACATGATACCGTTGAGGACACCGACACAACCTATGAAGAAATTGAACAGTTGTTTGGAAAAACCATTCGAGATATTGTCGCCGAATGCAGCGATGATAAATCATTACCCAAACAGGAGAGAAAACGTTTACAAATTGAACATGCCCTGGGATCATCACGCGAAGCAAAACTTGTTAAATTAGCCGATAAACTCTACAATCTACGGGATTTGGAGCGAACTCTTCCAACCGGATGGACTGAGGTAGCTATTGAAATTTATTCATATCGAACGATTGAGTTCAAAATCAAAACTATCTTTGTTTTTAAGGATCGTCGCTGTGAGTATTTCAAATGGGCCAAACAGGTTGTTGATAACTTACGCGGAACCAATGACCACTTGGAGAACGCTTTAGATGAGATTTTTAAGAAGCAAAATTTAATGTGATCAATTATGTGAAAGAGAAACTCGAATTGTTATCGATATCAATTATTTTATTTGATGGTTAATCGCGCCATCATTTACGAATACAAAAGAAAAGAGAATCGAAAAATATCATGAAATTGTTGTTTATTTTTTGTGTTTGGCCAAAAATTCGTCCATGTAATTGACGAGTGTTTCGGTGTCTTCAAGTGTGACGGCATTGTAAAGCGATGCCCGAATGCCACCAACCGATCGATGCCCTTTGAGTTGAAGCATTTTCAATGCTTGAGCACCTTTCAAAAATTCAGCCTCCAATGCTTCGTCACCAGTTTTTCCACCAACACGAAACACCACATTCATACGGCTTTGATATGGCTTATCGATGGGACAGCTATAAAATTCGGCCGATTTTTCGATGCGATCGTATACCATTTTCGATTTTTTTATTGAATTCTCATACATTGCTTTGATGCCACCCGATCTCTTTATCCATTCCAAAACCTTGCCAACAACATAAATACTGTAATTCAATTGATAATCGATTAGCTACTGATTCTGTTAATAATAGAGATTTTTTTTTTCTTCTTACATAAATGTTGGTGGAGTGTTGTATTCAGAATTGGCGGCAAAGTTCTCCTTGAAATTAAGAATGGCAGGTGTAATTGGTAATGCATGGTTCATAAGGTCTTCACGTACAATAACCACAGTTATACCGGCCGGACCGAAGTTCTTTTGTGCACCAGCGTAAACAACTCCAAACTAAAATTTAGATAGAAAAATTATGTATCAACGATTTTATGACAATTTTGTTTGTTTTTCTTACTTTGGTAATATCGAATGGTCTTGAGAAAATATTTGATGACATATCAACGACCAGTGGTACGCCATTTGTTTCTGGAATGAATGGAAACTCGGTACCTATGAAGAGAAATTAAAAAAAAAATTGAAATAAGACATTAAATTAAACTATGATAAAAGAAAAGAATTTATAGGTAAATTACCATCGGCAGTTTCATTATCACAATAATACACATATGATGCATTTGGATCTAAATTCCATGTGGATTGACCCGGAATGGTTGTGTATTTGCTGACTTTGGGCAACACTAAATTAACCTTTCCATACTTGGCTGCTTCTTTTGCTGCTTTCGATGACCATCCGCCTATATTTCCATGAAATCAATGTAATATTTTTTTCAAAATGTACTCGTGTGGTTCAAAATTTCACAATCGTTTTACATTATCAGTATATTGTTTACTCACCTGTGACAATGTAATCGGCGGTACCAGTACGACCGATCAAATTTAACGCAACACCAGCAAACATACCTGTTGCACCGCCTTGCAACAGTATCACTTTATAATTGTCTGGTAGGTTCCTATGAAAAAAAAATATGTATGAATCAATCGTAAGAATCTTGTACAAATGATCGCGTGTCGAATATTAATCATTTGTGAGGAGAGAAAAAAGGTGTCGAAAATCTTACAAAATATCCCGAACTGATTGCAGGGTTGCATCATGTAAAGTCATATAGTCCTTTGATCGATGCGATATTTCCATTACACTTAAACCGGTATTTGCATAGTTTAGCAATTCTTTCTGCACTTCAACGAAAACTTCACGGGGCAATTTAGCCGGACCGGCACCAAAATTAATGACCATTTTGTTGGAATGTACTTTTTTTAAGTTACGAATCAAACGAAAGAAATATGAATCTCTTCAACAAGTGGCTATCTGTATGTACGGTGTACTTTTTGTGTGTAGAAATGAATAAAAAAATATTTATTCAAATAGTGAACAAAAATATAGAAGTTATCACTTAATTTTTCGTTCTTGTTTGGTTACTTGAACTCAATGAACTGAAATATTTACTGTCGTATTCAATGAATTATATTCCCACTTTTACTTCGCTCTTTTGACTGTATTGTGTCAATTATGCAGTCAATAAGCAGAACGTATTCAGAGTATGCTTGTGCGTTGCGTCTACCGCAGCCTGTTGTTGTTGTTGTATTTTTTTGCGTTACTTCTTATCACATGTTCGTGTTTGTATTATCTTGATGTTGGTAATCCGATGCGTTTGTGTTGCATTGTGTGTCGTACCACTCAACGATTTGTTCATTTACTAAGGCTTGTTTTTCAACACATACACAGACGATGTAAATAATAAATTCACACTCTAAATATAAACGTTCTGTTTTGGACATAATTTAACAAAACATAATTCTTTTATATATTTCATCTCTTTAAAATTGAATATTTATGATTGTTTTAATGATGAACAACAGGCTTTGAATTTCCATGGGAATTTTACAACATTAAAAATGAGCGATTTAACTGGTATTTTTTTTAGTTTATAATTAACGTTGTCGACTGATAACATAATTTTGAAACTATGCATTTTGTATATGACTCTGTAGTAAATAGAATGATTGGCATGTATTTTATCAATTCGCTTTGATAATAAGCTGGAAAAATATTAAAAGTGTATTTTGTTCTATAAAAATTCTCTGTTTCCAAGTATACATGTTATTTTCATCGTCTTTCCATTCTGGCACTATTCTTCCATGCGAAATATGATTAAATGATAAGAAAAGCAAAAATCTTCCATTTTCGCCAGCCGTTAATGGGGCAACTGATTACGCAATGTCATGATTACCATGTTGTTTTCAATATAGCAAATTTTAATCAACAAGTTTTATTTGCTGGTGGCTTTACAAATAGATAATCGAATGCCGTTTATTATCAGCCGTTTGTCGCACAACAATATGTTTTTTTTAAATATATATTTTATTTAACAAACAACATGGGGTATTAAAACTATGTAATATGTCAGCTGACACCGTTACCATGATCTATTGCGTTGCTCATTTTTGTTTTTCCAATAAATCAGTTCATGAGACATAGATTATATTTCAGTACCAGGCATAATGATATTTACTTGTCTCTCTATTCTAATAATAGTTTCTGCATATTTAAATTAGTCGATACTAACATGACTCCACACTATTTACGCGATTCATATGAATTTGAAAAATGACTTTTTTTCCGTCTTATAATTTTCAAAGGGAAAGATAAGATTTAGTTGTTGCTTGTATGTTCGTCGATGCCAATAATCTGCTATCGATGGTCATGGGTTTCATCGGATATTTTTATTCAAACAAATAAATCTCCTTGAGTCAAAACTGTATTAAAATACTACAGAATAAATAGTTTAAAACTGCACTTAAACTAAAAATGAAACACAAATATTTAAAACTTTATCGATTTATTAGTCATTTGTTTTGGTTCAAAAAAAAAATGCATTGAAAATGAAAATAATGATTTGTGTGTGTATTATTTCTTGCGTAAAATTAAAATTTATTTATCTTTGATAAATGGGAATTTTGGCAACGACATCAGCCCAAAATGTAGAGTAATTTTTAACAACGGATCCGCTGAAAATATGAAACATGAAAATAGATAAAATTTGCTATTATTTCTGTTTCATTCGTTAAAAATTCGACATTTTCATACAATAACTTTGAAAACAAATCAATAAAAAGTAAAAAAAACTTTATTTTTCTTTGTTCATTCGCATGCACCGTCAAAGTTATTGCTAAAAAAATTGTTCGAAAAAAAAAACAAAAAAATAAAAGAAAACACTTCAATGCATTAGACGCGCATTGAAAAACCTCGAAACACATCGTAACTTCTTTTTCGGTTGGTAAAGTCAAGATGTTTCAAGGCAACATTCGATATATATATTATATATATAATCAACGTTCACATAACGACATAACTGTTTTTAAATTGCCTAGTCATCTTAAATATGTATGCCGAAGTGAAACGGGCAAATTAAGAAGAAAAAAAACTAATATTAACAAAATCGAACTTATGAATCATAACACCAAAGAAACGAAGCGATCGAGAGAGAAAAATAACAACCGAATTTAAAATTATATTGCACAAATCGGGCCAAGTGGTTAATTCATTGCCTTTGAAAATCGTCACTTGCAATAACATCGAAAATTGGTTATTATAAGTTAGACAATGTACGGTGTGTGAGTGTTTTTTTTTATAGTGTCGAGACGATGATTTCGTGTTCAGTTGCCATAAAAGCGTACGTATCGAACATGAGCATAAATTTTTGTACAGCTGAAATATATTCGATGTGTATTTTCGTGACTTTTCGATGACTTGACTATATCTGAATAGTTCAATGTTTTGATCCGAATCCCGTTGCTGCGAGATCTGCATTAATTACCGTTTAAAATAATATTAAAATAAAATGCTTGTGTACATTGGCCAATAGTGCAGTTTGATTCAGTTCATTTTCTTCTGTTACGCTAAATGCAATAGAGATGAATGCGAAGAGAGCAAAAAATGGCAAAAAGCGGCGTACAACCCAAGAATTACATAAGCTAATGTGTAGACGAAATTGCAAGCCATATATGTATACGAGCCACATGCGATAGATACGTTATTGAATTGATTGAATTAAGAAATCCATTCGTATTGCAAATGGGCATTGGTGCAAAAAAAAGAAATAAGAAAGGGAAAAACAATCATCCACAGTACAAATCAATGGAAACATCTATGAAAATATATGTATATAGAGAGACAACCGTTGACTTGGCTCAACTTATATGTTTAATGCGTGAATTGCGATCGACAATTTTTTTAATACATCAAGTTTGTTCGTGCAATGCTTGACGAACATGTTACATGTATTCTCTATTTGCAGTATAATTAAGCATTTTATGCCGATAAAAATCGCAAAATTGTATTTACATGGGAAGAAATAAAAAATTGGTTGATTTTTACTCACGTGAAATAAACTCGGCCGCTCTTATGCTGTGGAGCATTCCAAATTAGATTTGCGCCTTCTTTATCTTTATTATCGGCATGAGTGATTGATGCACATTCCGGAATCGTTTTGGTATTTTGACTGTCTTGCCATGATCCAATCCATTCGTTTGTCTCAGTATCACGCGCTTGAATGAAAAATCCACGGAAATAGTCACGGCCACGAATGGTAACTGTGTTCAGAAGAAGAAAAAATTGATGAGTAATTGATGCATTTTGCATTGCATAATGTAAAACTGTACTTTGAATTTGTTGTCCTGGTTGATATTGATCGGTGGTGGCTATTACTTCATATGGCAACGAACCAATGGGCTGAGATCTGGCTTGTCCATGATTTGGTTGATTAAATCGTTCCGGTTTAACACCTGTTCTTACATAGAATTTGTCAATTTTTCTCTTTCTTTCTTAATATTAAAACAAAAATGACTGTCCGAAAATAACACGTACATGTATCGGCTGGCCCACCATCTGGGAAGCAATTTACCACAACAAAAACGGCACACAATAAAATGGCCTGATTTATTTGACGAAACATTGTCGCCGAAATAAAAACAAAAACAATAACAAAAAATCACTCAAAATAAAATGACAATCAAATCCACACAAATACACCAAATGCAAGATCGTCGATAGAGAAAAATGATTCGCTACTGGTCGACTGTTCAACTAGAGATCATACAATGAGCACAACTAAAACGATCTTAGAAAATGTAATGAACTATAAATAAAACGACAAATACGCAGAAATCGAATGGTAGGGATTGCCTCACCTTTGGTAGGATTATTGAACCTTTTCTCTCTAGCTTAAAGCATTGCATGCGAATTGAACAAACCATAACTAAATAGCTATTTAATTTCATATAATATGTAATATTTGATCCATTGCTTCACAATTTAAATCCATTCAATCAAATTGATGATACAATGTATTGCATGTGATGATACAATGTATGCAAACGATACGAAATGTTTTAAATGACATGCTGGCTAATCTGTCTTTCACTCGCTTTGGCTGCTGGTTTAAAAATGTTGATTGTTGGGTCGTTTGGATTTTGTTTGGTGGCCGTTATAATGCCGAAATGCTAAACCACGTGTGGCAAAGTTTTGAACGTGTCATGGATGAAGATTTAGTCATGCATGCATCTATATGGCATACTATTTTGAGAAGATGCTGTTTAAAGCTACCATGTGGTTTATTCTCGTTGAAAAGTTTACCAAACCGAGAAAAAAAAATTGTGTTTAAAATTCCAAAACCAAAATCGGGATAACAACAAAGCACTAAACTAATCCGCCTGCGAGAGTGTTCTATGTAATGGGGCAATATTTATACAGTTGTGTATGGATTTTATGTGGTGGCTCGTAAAACGCATGCGTTCGGTAAATAAATAATCGCTCTCCGAAGTATACATGGGGAATTTTCTCTGCAGTATTTTCTATGCTTTTTTTTTCATTCTTCTTTTTCTACTGTTTCATATGTTGTTTACTGCTATTGCTGGTTGATATTGGTTGTATGTGATTTCGTCTGTTCCATGCCAAATGGTATAGCATCAACCCCTCCAAATGGATATTCAGGACATGGATCCTGTCGTACCGAAATTATGCTCTAAGTGTCACACAGCTAGCGCCACGATGGAATTCAATGTAATCTATACTAAGCTGCCGCCAACTAGTGAAAAGACTTTTGCTCAGTTACAAACAACTGCCTAGAACTCCATAGTTGTCCGTAGTGGCGCTAGCTGTGCTATAGTTTTGCATTTTATACAGTCTCTTATGGAACATAATTGCAGTGCGGATCCTGTTTATTAAGCCATTTCAAATGGAATCGTTAGATTGCTGCATGCATAGTGACATAAGCAGTCGTTTATTTGCTTTGACTTTACTATAAATTGCGACGTGTGACGCTCCGTCACGTCAGTGTGTGCTTTTGATTTTTGGTGTGCTTTTCAAATATATTCAGATGGTTTTCGAGTAATCATTTCGCTGACCCTTTCGATAATAATTTGTTGTTTCTTTTTTGTGATATTATAAACGTCGTAAACATCGTAATTGTTTTTCTTCGTTTTGAATATTCGTGTTTTTGGCAGCGCGTAAGTGGTGTTCATAATTTCATCAGTGAAAGTTCTATGTGCGTTTTGATAATTAGCACACATGTTCACAATCATGTATAGTATACAAAAAGTAGCCAAATGAATTAAAAACCGTAGCTTGACTACAATACCTAAAATACAAAAAAAAAACATGAGAGAGAGAAAAAGAGATGTTTTCTTGAAATTACTTGATTTGCATACATTCAAAGTGCCGTGTTCGCTTTATATTTTTGTCGTGTGTGTGGTTTCATTTTTTTTTAATTCTTTGCACTTCGCTGACTCCTTCTCCACCGTTCCATAAAATACACACAAAATAAATACATATAAACATATTATGTCGAAATTGGTTCGGTTGCGGTGGTACAAAAGCATTGTATAAATGTTCTTCTTTTTTTTCCTTCCAAAATGACTAGTTTCACCAAATATTCGGTACATTGCGGACATACGAATGCAAATCAAATATATCACACGTGGCTGTTGTTCTAACATTTGCTCTCATCTCAGTTCGCCTTTGCTCTTATAATTAGCCCCATTCATTTATTGGTCTCTCAGTGTGTGAGGAAATGAGAGTATATGTATAGGAATCCATTCGTTTGCGTTTCTTGTTCACTTTTCAACACAGTTTCGAATATAAATGAAAAAAAAAATCGCTCGTTCACTTTGTACGTCTATTGATTCTTTTTATTCGGTGGCTTTAGAAAAGTGGCGTGTTCCGCTGAAGTGGTTAACATGCACTGTACTTTTTTTTTTCTAAAATAGAAATAAAACAAGAAAATTGGCGATAAATCTTTTCTGTATTCGTTTTGTATATGTTCTGGTTTTTTTTTTTCTGTGCGATATATATTTTTTTCTGGTTTTATATCAAAACTCGGTTTCAATTCCCAGGCTAGAGACTTCAAAATTACTCATATGACACTCCATCAACCTGTTAAACGAATTCAATCAGCAAGGATCGCGACTAAAATCACGACAAATTAATTAGCGTAAATTGTGTACAGTGTTTGGTTAAAACAAAACAAACCTGAAGAAATTCCATTCAAAATAAAAAAACAATGGAATTGAGTTAGAATGAACTGAATCAACGTCAGATTTGAAGAAAGTTTTCGTTTTTGTTTATTCGGACAAGAATATTCGAGAAAAAAAAGATTTCCTCAACGAATTTCGAAAGTAATTCAAATAAGATATCATTTATGTAAAAATCGAAACGGAAATTACAATGTGAACAGTGTGGTAGACTGATTTGATAGTATTGATTTAAATTAAAGATATAAAACGGACTTGAAAATTAGGTGCGATATGATGAAATTTTGGTTTGCTCTTATTCCTTCCCACTCACTCTCACTGTGGCCTCATTTCATTACAAAAATACAGCTATATTTGAGTTGTGCAAATGTACGTGCCATTTCACCCCGTGTCAGCTTATTTTTTCTCTATCTCTGTGTGTGTGTCTCTTTTTTTCGGCTCTGGTAGATAATTCATTGATTTTCAATCAATTTCTGGGTTTCGTTATGGTGATTCAATTCATTTAATGTGATGAATATTTTATTGAATTGGAAGAGCCACATGCCTCTCCCATTCATTTCATTTCAATTTTAAGTTCGTACATAGATAATTTCGGTGTCAAAATCCAATACAGCAGTTTAGCAATTCAGAGGCCAGCTTACCAAAAACAAAACAAAAAAATAAAATAAAAAGCATAAGCCTCGGAAACATAGATATATTCTCACTCTGTCTTTCACTCTCACTCTCACTCTCACTCTCACTCTCACTCTCATTCGATATATAAATTGCATATTGCAAAGATAAAATATATTCAAGTTGGCACATCGACCGTGTCAGAAGCGTTTCAGTTGTCTAGCAGAGCATATCCATTCGAAGCAATTAGATATTTCCGTGCATTTATCCTTCTCGTTTGCTTTCAGCAATTGCATTCCATTACTTTTTTTTTGTTTATTTGCGTATCTATGGCGCATAATATTTAACCACACAACAAAACGGCTAAAAATATGACATGAAGTCATATATTTTTATCGCCGTTTTCTTCTGTCCTGATCATCGTACAATGTTAACGCTCTGAATATTATATTGTTAATTTAATGCAGCGAATTATGTGCTTGAATGACGTTTAGTTAGATATTCATGATGATAATGATTATGATGTACACACATACAAATTTTGCACTAATACACATACAGAATCGCTAGAATTTTTGACATTTTACGTATTCTGTAGAAACAATACAGAATTTGTATAATTTACTAATGATTTATTTGTCAGCGCAGCTCAGATCCGTATTCGAATTCTGTATTGATTCTACAGAATACGTAAAATGCCGAAAATTCTACAGATTCTGTAAGTTAATATATTAGAATTTCACTAAATGTTTGATTAGATATATTAGTAAATTCAATTTATTATTATTTTCTTTAGCAAACGTTTGCTATCACAAGGGAGTTTCATATAAGATTTCCATGTAGCAGCAGAAAAACAATCAAAATCACAAAAAAAATCAGCTCAATTGGCGATTTTTATTGCGCAGCAAAATATAAGTTTGAGTTGTGTGTGCATGACTTGAGTTGGAAGTCAACCTTGAGGAGCAGGTGGATCCAAAGTGTTTTGAACTCCAGGTCCAAAGTGTTCTGGATATTGAGCAGTCATGGAGGTAACAAGTCTTGCCGAATTTCGATATTTTTGCGATAATTCCATCGGAAAAGCGAGAAAAGACGATCGGGAGTTTTTTTTGTGATTTTGACTGTCTTTCTGCTGCTACATGGCAACTTTTTATGACACTCCTTTGTGATAGCAAACGTTAGCTGAAGTAAAAATAATAAATTGAATTTACTAGATTTTTAATAAAACATTTAATGAAATTCTAAAAAAAATCTAGTGAATTGTTAATAAAACAGTGAACTTCTAATATAATAACTGTTACTAAATAGTAATTATTAATTACTAACATTTTACTAGCTAATAATTATTAAAAATCTAGTAATTCAATAAAATCGATTTTTTTAGTAAAATAATAAAATATTTAGTAATTACTAAACATTTTCACATCTATGTGTACTATGTATTGGTGTAGAAATATTATGTGTGTACATCATACACATAGTGTTCTAATATAATAATGGCAATCGTATAATATATCCACTTGAAGTGGCAAATGATTTGTCTGCTATATCATATAGCCTATATGTGTATCTTTGATATTTTCCAGATTGGCGAATTCTGGGGAGTCGATCCAACATGTTGGATTTAATCGAAGTGGCGTCAACATGAAACCAATTAGGGCTTCTGTGTATCGAGAAGCCCGTATGCATATGCAAAGCAATTGTGTAAATCAATTAAATAGCGGTCATGTAATGAGCAAAATAAGTGGATCGTCTTCAAATCGATCACGGCTTCATCGGAGGAGCCATTATCGTCAAGTGCACCAAATAAAACAACAATCACAATACCAACACTCATTTTTATCAGCAATGTCAGCGATTCAAACGATGCTGTCCATTTTATCGATATGGGCATTTTATATGTTGTTTTTTACAAATGCCATTACATTTGTTGCTGCAAATAGTTTGACTGGAAATGACGGCAAAAATGGTGCTTTCACCGAGCTACCGACAACAACTGAATTTGGTGAGTCACTCCATTCGCTTGGTTTTTCTTTTTAATTGTACAAAGATGCAATAGAATATACACACAATCGACATACGAATCATCCCTCATTTTCTCGTTTGTTTGTTTTGTGTATATTTGGTTTTCATTTGTGTCGGGAATAAATTAACTTGTTGAATCGAATGATTTAATTACTCGCGACTATTTTTCAATTTAATTACTTGTGCTGTATACTCTGTTGACTCGTGCAAATTGTGCACAGTAAGCGGAAAAGAAGAAATATCATGTTTGGATTTCAACCATGTTAATTAATGTGGCACATTAATCTATGGTGATTTTTTTTCGTATATGCAGATTATGCGAACCGAGGGAAGAAAAAGTTTGGCGACAAATGTGAAACAACGTATGAATGTGGCTTTCCCGACTCAATATGCGATTCAAAAAAGAGGTCGTGTCAATGTATCGAGGAGCTTCCCGTCACTAATCACATTGATAAATGCGGAAAGGGTAAATTATGTTTTGATATTTTTGCTTTTTGTTTTTTTTTTTCATGTTTTCAATTTGTTGACACATAATACGGCTTAAGCAAACAATGATTACCTTGAAACGGAAACAGCGCAAATCGATGAAATCAAGCAATATCCGTGTACATTAAAACGGCAATAAATGAGCACTGATTCCACACGTTGCCAACATTGTGCTCCTGATATTCGAGCATATTAATATGGATTAAAGTTTTCGACCAATGGGGAATATAACAAAACGTGATTTTAACCTATCAACCATCGTTGTTTAGCCAAAAGAAACAACAAACGAAAATTCACCCAACAATAAAAATAAATCATGCAATATCAAAATTTCACCCTCTTCCCCACCAAAAGAAAACCTCGAATCTTTATAGCTTTTTTAGGAATCAATTTATATTGTTTGAAGTGAGCGGATGATAAGAACACCATTCCTTTTTGTTCAAATCATGATAGTGAGTATCGAGATTCGACAAAACATAAAACCATGGTTCCATGGTTGTTGTTTTTATTTTTCGGTTCTTTTTTTTTTCTCTAGAAATAGCATTTCAGAATCACAATACGACGTACAAAAATTGTTATTTATTTTCGAAAAATGAAACTAGAAAAAGAAACGAAAAACAACATCGACAATCGTTCGACAATGTCAGGCAACGATTTTACTGTTCTTATCTACAAACTTTACATTTGCGTGAAAGTAACAAATCTAACACCAAACTTTGAACTTTGAACCATCAAGAAGAGATTGGCCACATACCCAACATATAATGATTTGCTGGAATTTGTTTCTCTCAGTAGCAATGAGCTTTACATCAAATGTTTCGAAACAATCGTTGTTATGATATAGAAAGTATTCATTCAAAAACGGTTTTTTTTTTCATTGCTTTAAGACACCCAAACAAAATAATTACAGTGAATATTTTGCGGTTAATTTGATCGATAAATACACTCGTTTCTTTACAATGTTGGGCTGAAACAGTGCAGTAATGCTACTTTTTTGTTTGTTTGAAGTGTATGAACTATGTGCGTGCTTTTTTACATATAAAAAGGGGGGCAAATCATGTGACGTAAAACCGTCTGAACTAACACTCAAAACATTTAAGGATAACATGACATTATTATTATATATTTAAATTGGCGACTATATGTCGGCTTATTGAAACCCCAATGAGTTACTCGTTATTTCTCCCATTGAAACGATTATATCAAAAAAGGGTATGATTTTATGCTGTGCAATTCGAATTGTAATGCGTACGGGCAAGCCGTTAGTTTGAGCTGAAATCGGGGAGAAATCTGACACTTTAGATTTCGCATATAACTCGGATGGCGGCCACTTGTTATTATCATCATCGTTTCTTTGTTCTATGTTTGCTATTTCGCGCAATGTGTTTGTATTTGTATGAGAGAGAGAGAGAGAGAGAGAGAGAGAGCGAATTAACTGAATGTTGAATGAAAATGCGCTACAAAGGAAAGCTTTTCAGATTTGTGTACCCTTTTTTGTTCATTTAAGAACGAAATATTGTGCTAATTTACTGCTCTCATGAATCAAATGTTCTCTTTTTGTGTATTGCCTTTTACAGAGGCGTCAGTTAATGAAAGTTGCTTTTTCAATGAGCAATGCGAGGCGTCCAATTTTCTAACTGGATGCCGCGATGGAAAATGCAGTTGTCGCTTTGAAATGTCGCCAATTTTGAATAAAGACGGAACCATTGAATGCAAAGGTATGAATAGAAACACTTAAATGTTCCGGTTGTGCTGAAGGGGCGACATGAACATTGCGCATTCGAAATTTATATAAAAATGCTAAAATGATTTCCTTTTCAATTGAAAACATGCACATAGACACGCGAGAGTCTCGAACACCAGAGAGATACGTCGATCCAGCGATGATTGGAATCCTTGCCGGAATGGCGCTCATGTTTATTATTATATGCGTTGTTTTACGTCTATTCAGTCGGTTTGTATACTCGATCTATTTTCCTTATTCTTATGCATATGAGTACATCGTTTTCTTTTTGTTTATAATTCTCTTGAAAACTTGTTGCCCGTAGTTATTTTTTTCTTCTTCTTCTTCTTTCAATTATCGTGGTGAATGTAAACTTATGAATTGATATGCATTATGGTTTTGGTGGTTTATTTATTTTTTTTTACTTTATTCCACAGAGCACGATGGCGTGAAAATCGAACTATTTTCAATACGCCAAATCCACGTTTGATGAACGTATCTCTGCTACGAGATAATAAACTGATGCACAGCCAAGAACGTCGTGGTTCGCGTATGTCGATGCGGATGCCATCCCGTCAACCGAGCATGGTATCATTACGTCCGCATTCACCGAATCCATCGATAGGTAGGCAAGGTATTCAATGTTGTTGAACATCACAATAGCTTTCAATTAGCATATACATTTAATTTTCGTTTGAAAACTCCCAATTTTCACAATATTTATTTTAAATTTAATTCATTTTTATACACCACACTTGGAATAGAAAATTATAAATTCATCGAAGAAGATTTTTTTTTGAAATTCACAAAACCAAAACTGATCAGTGTATCCAAAATATGTTTTAAGCTTAATGTCGACTTCGTTTGTTTTTATCATCTCTCCTTCTCTCAATTTGCTTGCATTTTTAACTCACTTTAAAAAAATAAAAAAAAAACATGTTTTGCTTAACAAGTGCTCTGCGTGCAAGCACTACATTCATTGTTTTTTTAATTTGATTTTTGACATCAAATTTTAAGTAGGTTCACAATCAAATGCACCGCGGATGTCGACGTTAAACAAAAGGAATAAACTAATTTATTTAAAACATGTTTTGGTCGTTACTGTTGCCATTATGCACACCATTTTTCTCTCTCTATCGATCTCTATATTTCGCCTATAGCCTATTATTCTCGCTAATTTTGCAATTTTAAACTTTGTCACAAATACCAATACACACAATTCATATAAACAACAAACAATTTTTTCAGCTGTAATTAAACAAGCAAATGCAGTTCTATGTTTTACAATACAATACAGTTCAAACAACACAACCATCACTCGTTACTAAATTTTAACTCACATGATGAACCATTTTGCTATTTGAATGTTTATATCTTTCGGATGATTTCTAAATTTTTGTTTTTGTTTCTTTAAATTTTGTCTATGGGGTTGTACGTGATAATATTTTACAAACAAAAAAACTAATCAAGCACACACATAGCTACTAAAAAAAACAAATTCTTTAAATGGAATTATTACTATTTTGAAAAGATGGTTGTGATCGATTTTGACTAATTTTGATCATTATTTTATATTTATTAGTGAATTTCAACGATGGAAGCTTGTTAAATGTTTCTCTCAAATGTTCAAAATAGTAATAAACTTTTTTTTTGTTTGGAATGTTTCCTTCCCATATTAGCACACACAACGTTAAATATTTTCGTTGAAAAGAACACCGACCTTGTGCGTTACCTACCTACCTAACAAACAAAAATACCCGTTTTGATGTGAAAATTATTGCGTGTTTTCATTTTTATTTTTTCATAGATAATGTCGATGCCATGCAAGAGACAAAACTGCAACCAAACGATTGATAAAATTGACCTCCCCAAAAATAAATCCTTTAGACAGAATGTTTTTCCATTCGCTTATGGCATATGAAAAAACATTCGAACTGTAAGGAAAACTCCCTCTCCCATAATAAAAACTATAAAACAAAATGAATTGAATTCTACAAAATAAATAATTAAAACAAAACAATTTTTGAGAAAGAAAAGAAAAACAGTAAATTAAACATTCCCAGAGAGATGCAGAGTTAGTGATATGCGAAAAAGTTAAAAGAAAAAAAAAGAACTAACTACGGTTGAAATTTCTGGCGAAAAAGAGAGTATAACAGAAGCGAAACAAAATGAGTAAATTAAACTGCAAAAACAAGCAAACGAAATAAAAGTTAGTGTGACAAAATTATTTGAACAAATGACATATTGGTGGTTAAGAGAGTGAGAAAATGGGCTAAAACGTATTAGTGTGTTTAACTATTTGATTGTTGAACACGGCCTCGGTCCGTTCAAAACGTAATTTTAAATTTAAAACCAAATTGACCCGTTTTGTTCCATTATTCATCCTTTTTTCGGCTTGATTTCTTTTTTATTTCACATTATTTGGTGTTTATTTTGTAATTATGTATTTTTTGTATTCAAATAAATATGTTTTTTATGATCCACTGTTTTTTTTTTTTTTTTGGTTGATAAATGTGGATGTTTCACATGAGTTGTTGTGTATGTTTTTGTTTGGCATTCCAAAACACCTTTTAAGTCACCTTTTCTTTTATTTTCTTTTTTTAAAGAGAAAAAACATTCATGCTAATTCACAAATGTATTCAAAGGTTCACGACGATGCTCTCGAAACAATAGCAACACATCGGCCGCATCAACACGATCAAATCGAAGTGGTAGCACTGCACACAGTGCATCGAATCGAGGTAATCATCATAATGACGGAAAATATCGAACAGCAACATTGTACGAAACCAAATCGTGCAATTCATCGACCGATCGAAATGGCAGCGATAAAAACAACGATCCCAAAGTGGCTAATGTCACATTGCCCATCAGTTCAAGTTCACACTCAAGTGCTGGAATGGTAAACATCTAAAGAAGAGAGAGAGATAGACAGCGACAAGGTATTGAATCGATGTTATGTGCGATGGATCATATTAAGATAAATGACGGGAACCAAATGTGTGTGTTTTTCTTTTGTAAAAGAGAGACAATTAGTCATTTGTCCTTCTCGACGAAATGTACTTCCATATGCAAAAAAAAGTCGTATTATCATCAGTAGTGCTTAAAGTCATAATCGAAATTAAAACTCTCTTTCTTTCGTTAGTTCATCATCAGTGATAGTGATCAGGATAATTTAAGTGCATTTGTCTATGTAAAAAAAAACACTTATATAATTATACTTTTATCCAGAAGTGCATTCGACGTTAAGTAATGACGCAAAATTGTAGTCAGCCCACCACCATAGCTGATAAATTTTGAGCAAACAAACAATGCTTGTGAAAATCAAAGCAAATTGAGCACAGTTCAATCATTTGTGCGAGCCAGTCAGTCTAATTCAAATCAAACTGGAGGGAAAAGACCCTTTAATTTTTTTGTATTACTCCGTATTTCCGAGTAAATTCTAGTGTAGGCAATTTTAGGTGAAAAAAAAAATCATTACATTACAAATTACATTTTTTTCTTGAGCAATTAATTTTACCTTTTAAAACATAAATTATGGCACGAAATCACATACACAAAAAGATTATGTCTGCCATCGCAACTAGAAATGGTTGGAAAAATCAAATTTAAAGCTATTGCATCAAAAATAAAGATACTAAATGAATGGACATCTTCTTTGCAATTTTATAGGGACCATCGAAACTCTTTTCAAATACCAAAATTATCTAAAGAAAAGTGCAAATTAAAATGAAAAAAAAAAAAAACTATTTAAAGGCTAAATTATGACTTATAAAAACACATTCATACATTGCATACATACAAATATACGTATATAGAATCGTTGAAAACGTCAAGAACAAACCAGAGCATCAACAATTAAATATAAATTGCATTTCAAATTGTGACATATACAGCAGCCAGAGATATAACTCCATCGTTTAGACAATGGAAGCGCGTTTTGAAAAGCTTTAAAGAGCAATATTAGTTGAACGGCTAATTAAACCGAAATGAACAATCATTAGAGCAAGCAAGTTTTCAAATACAGCCAAAATAACTATACATAGAGATATATACCTATATTCAACATATATATATATATATAGAAAGACAACAAACATAACTAGTGTTTTTTGTAGATTTAATTCAACAAAATTAAATAAGAACATAGAGTTTAAATTAAAATCGGTAAAACAAAATCGACAGCAGTTTATTAGAAATTATTAACTCGAACTAAACAGTGTTGTTCGGGCAGACAAATGTTCGGAAATTTGTTCCAATTTCAAAGCAATCTTATATAGTCGAGGGCAATTAATCGAAAATTGCCTATCGATTGATAATAAATTGAGAACGGGAATTGCAAAGATTGAATATATATCAAGTGCGCCCGAACGCGCGCGCGCGTTCACGTCTCTACACAAGGAGTCAAGCTATATTTTTCATATGCTGATATTTTCATATGGCAGCGATAGAGTTCAAAGTGTCTCTCGGGACGAAAGATATTGCAAACCATATTAAATGCCTTTCTGTTTTAAGTATACAATAATTTCTCAGCTGCAGAAATAAAATAGAACACAAACGTTGGTCAAATCTAAAACGGAAATGTTGAAGAAGTGTTTTCTATCATTTCATCGGCTGAAATAGTTTTCTTCATAAAACAGCTGGGATCATTATCTAATTTTAAATTAATTTTTTTTTTCAACCTTTAGATGTAACAAAACGCTTTTTTATCTAGCAATTTTTCCATTTCTCGTAGATTTAAGTAACCTCCATTTCAATTCACTTCGTTCAACTGTTATAAATTGGACTCTATTGCAATTATAATATGTTATTGATTGCAAGAAAAATAATTTCCGTTTTTATCAGGAATTGTTCCTTTGAGGAGGAGAAGCATTGAAAAGGATCCTCTTCCTCAAATGAGGGGGAAAAGTTTTTCGTCAAAATGTTATTTTTATCACAAAAATATCTTTTTTGATTAAAATGATTTTTCTCCTCATTTAAGAAGGGGGATTCTCCTCAGCGCTCTCCATCTCCTCATTTTCCTTCTTGCCGTTCCTCCTCCTCAGAGTAACAATCACGGATTTTTATCATTTTTTTTCTATTCATTATCACCATTTTTAAGCACCACACATTTTTACAAATGTTTTACTTACATCGATTAGTTCCAAATTATATCCAATTTTACAAGAATGCTCAACAAAGCGATATTTATAACTTATTTTGAAAATTTTATTTATCTTTATCTATCGTGATTTATTTTACCGGTAGGAACAAACAAAATCGAATGAACAACAATTTAGAAGATATGACTATTGTCATTTTTATTAGATGCAAAATTGCTTGGGTCGAACAAATTACACAAAATTTACAAATTTATTAATATAGTAATGGATAGTAAAATACTTCGCTTATTTGTTAATATGAACAGATTTCGACAAATTTTATTGTCAAATACATAGAAATCTGATTTAGAATATTTCAACAATTGAAAATATTAGCCGCTTAGTTAAAATAGAGTTGCTAATTTATTAGAGATTATGTGGTTTGTGTGTGAAGCTCACGCCAAACTCAATATTAAGTTTTGATAATGTTACTTGCCAATGGGCCAACTGACACAGAAGTTCTATATACAATTTTATGTGATTAGCTGCAAGTAATAGAGGAAATAGTGCTCTCTTACTCACGTTTTTAGTAAAATCTGGATAACAAAATTGTTAACGAGTCTCTGCGGCACACTTTGAGACTTCGATAAGCTCTCAAAATTTGCCAATTTTCACGTATCTTTCATTTGGAAATGTTTCTAAAGATATGAGTTTGATAGCACGGCATGGTTATTTCCGCCTTTTTTTCCCCCATGACCTTGTTGTCTTTTTTTTCATCACCAGAGTTGTGCTATTCAAATCTATTTTAAACCGCACCGTTTTCGTGCAATTGCGACAATCACAACAAAATCAAGTAAACTCTCAACACTAGCATAGACACACTGCATCACCAAGCGGGATGATAAGCTTTCGCATTCAAAAAGATGAAATTAATCGCAAAATTGAGTGAGTTTCAAAGATGGATGTGTAATATTAGTGTAAACAATAGTTGCCGAATGTGAATTGAATGATAATGACAATGCTATCAATTTTCCGATTGTTCGAATATTTTTTATTCTCTAGCAAATCGAATGGTCAACTTCATTAAAGAGAGAAAATTAAACATTCACATTGAAATCGTGCGGCACATATTGTACCGATGAAAGCAAAAAAAAAAAGGATTACGCCAACACGGAAAAGTCAGTTTTAAATTCTCAATAATTAAATGAACCAAATAGATGAATTCAATCCAATACGTATTTGTTTTGTTCAACATCGTTGAATGCCTTATTTGCAAACTAAGAAAGCTACAGTGTTTTGGTGAAAAAGAAAAAAAAAATTATGAAAATATTCTAGTGTGTTGTATATATACATATATATGTTTTCATGTCAAACGAAATCGAATATACCCAAAATAAATGAAAATTCAATCAAGTGCGACTTATAAACGGTGCAATTTTATACAAAATTTTAACTATTTTCTTTCTTTAAATGTCTCTTTAAAACAAATTGAATGAATCTGACCAAGAAGAGACTTGCCAATTTTACGACTACTTTTCTACATGCAAATTAATTTAGGACAATATTTCACACGAATTATATATTCATTTAAATACCAAACTGACTTCTTTTATTCTATAAGCGTTGAAATAAAATGAGAAAAAAAAAAAAAAAAAAAACTAAATAAAAAATTCTTCTACGAATGCTCGAAGATTTTCGTTTTCTATATATTATAAGAAAAATCAATAGCCGAAAAACAAACTAATGGGATGGATATTGCTTCAATAATGTAGCACATGCACATTTATTTTGCTTGGCAAATAAAGAGAACGAGTTTTATTTTTTACACTTATCGATTCGTAGCAATAGAACACCATTCTCCATCCAACACAAATAATACCACTAGATTGCACTTATCAAATATATTCGGCTTCATTCCTCCTAAATGCATATAGTATCATTCATAAATTCTAGTTTTTAGAGAATAGTATTTTGATATTCTGGGTCCGAGTTGCAATCATATGAGGAAATAATGGAATATGCTTTGATGAAAGGATATACAAATGTTCATAATGCATTTTACTAGATATTTTTCAACACCCGACTTTTGAAATATTCACCAAAACCCAATTGTGAAGGTTGTTTTCCTCTCTCTCTCCCCAGATATCTATTTCAATAAGTATAATAACACATGCAATAAATAAAGAACATGTATTTGATTTATAATTTTGCCAATTGAAAACAGAGAGCAATAACAATAAAATGTTGTCCGCATAATTTGACTGTAATTACATTTTTCGTTATTTATCTCCTACGCAGACATTTAATCAAAGTAAATTTATGTTCCGCGCATAGTTGGCAAACAATTCATATTGTTTCTTTTTCTCTATCTTACAACATTAAAGCGAAGAATGCTTTCGATTTAAATGGGGGAAGATTTATTGATGAAACATTCTTCCATGAAATTTCTTGTTTTCAACTACATCTTCTATTTCCGTTCATTATAAATTTAAGAATCCAACTAAATAACGTTGTAGAATTGTAGCCACTTTAAATCATGTACAAGACAAACTTCTTGTATTTAAAATAAAAAATGAAATTATAAATAATAATAATATTATCGCAGTCACAATTCCAACCGTTTTGAAAAGTCTGGGAAGAATTTCAAAATGGTTCCTCTCCACAAGCGCCCTACATTCTATGCAAAATAAATAAAAACAAATACAAATTTCCTTAAAAATTAAATTTTAGATCGTAAGAATATTGCAGCTAATACTAAAAGAATGCATTTCTTTTGTTACTGAATCGAACTACTTAGTTTAATTACCAGCAAACAAGAAACATGTCATGGTTTTTACATACAAAAAAGAGACATATATATATAACCATATAAAATAGGTCAAAATGAGGATATACAAATATACAACACAAGAAAATAACAACTAAATGAACAAAAAAAAAACACTCACAATAATTATATACTATTTTAGAACTCACGAATCACAACATTTTTCTTGATCTATAGAATGATCTTATCTGATTTATCTGAATAAATATTTCTACGCTATTTTTATCCGAACAATTTCAATGGGGTTTCATTTTATTTATCTTCTCATAGGTGCTCATTTTCAACAATTATGAGGGGTAAGTTGCATCCCTCTTTGTAAAAATGGAAAATAAAAAAAAATACCCAAAATCTTCGGAAAAGCGCGAAAAATGATTGGACCGAGAGATTCTCGAATAAAAAATGAAAAACCGTCATAAAATTTCAGAAAAACGTCATAAATTTTCTGTCATAAATTAAAAAATTTGAATTTGGTGTAGGCAGTTGTGGAAGTGTGTTTTTAATTCATTTGATATCAAAGATGTACTTGCATGCTATAGTGGACATGTTATTGAAAAAGCACACAGACGATTTGAAGAATATTTGCAACCGTCAAGGCGCTAAAGCGAACATATACGATTAAAAATGGCTTACAAAGTATGTTCCGAATTACAATTACCATTGTCGTGGTAAAAATACGTGTTATTATTGTTTTCAATTCATTGCTGCAGAACGTCCACAAAGAATATCGTTGGGTTCGGCTGAAAATTCATTAAATATATCCATCACTACAAGCAATGTTCTTTGAAAAAAGAAATAGTTCAACAACACATTGATTTCTGTTTAAGAAACAAAAAAATTGTTTTATTTGTAAGCTTTTTTCGATCTCCAATCCAAATATTCATCAATATCATCAACTTCATTATCATCATCGTCGTCATCACTTGATTCAATAGGAGTTGGTTCCTTTTTTTGTTTAACCCTAATTTTTGCCGTTGTCACTGTTCTACAACTGGAAGTTATATCACTTTCTTTTGATTTGTCATTTACAGTTTCCTTCATTTTTTCCAATTCAAGAACTCTGGAAAAAAATATACGAAAATAAAACTCGAATTATCTTTCCGGCGAGAAAAAGATCGTTTTAAAATAAATGTACCTGTTCCAATTTCGAATTTGTTCATCAATTTCATCGATTTGGCGTTCAGTGATTGCCTCTTCTTGATCTTCAGCAATGATTGCATTTGAAAAATCGGATGCGGCTTTAATTTCCTGTTGAAATTTCTCCCATTCTTCTTCGACTGGATCTTTGTATTCTGAATTTCGAGCTTTCGCATCTTTGATTGGATCATCGAAAAATCCCTCTGGCAATGTTTCGTCTTTAAGTTGTTCAGCGTTGCTGTTTTCCGCATTTGTGTCATCCATTTTATCCGGATCCGGATTTCGTTTAATGCTAATCAAATTTGTTTTAATTGTAGTTTTTGTCAGTGTTGCTTCATAAAAATTGGCATTTTGTGGTGGATCATCAAAAAAGTTATCTGGTAGTGCACTGTTTTCGGTTGAAGTGGTTGTTGGTTTTGCGTCGGCCACTTGCGATGATGAATTGTTGGGTTTATGGCTTGGGCTATTCTTCAGAATACCTAGCGTAGAATCACAAAAATAATTATTAAATCATTGAAAAGTAAATTGTCCATATCGAATAATACCCTTTGGAATTTTTGCCGGTACTTCTGGTATTGGCGGTGGTGCCATACGCCGTTTTGATGCCGTTGCCGCTGACGATGATTGAGCCGATGGTACTGGTGGCGGTGGCATACTGTTTGCACTTTTCTTTGCCAATTCGACATTTTGTTTATGTTGTTTTGCATTTATGTGCACTTTCCACACATCCTCCGATCGAACAACTGTTTTGCACAATAGACACATCAATTGACCTAAATCATTATACGTGTTTACGATAAATAAAATTGACAAGATTTTTTTTCATTAAGGAAAATAGAATCAACAACATATTGAATCAGATAAATGCATATTTTATGTGGTAGACAATTCAATTCTGATTGAATTGAATCGGAATCGATTTGGTTTGAAAAAGGATATTTGGCTAATGGTGAATTAATGGTCGTTGTAGTTTTTTTCGGTGCACTTTTTGCCTTTTGTTCGGCCATCAATCGACGCAAATCATTTTGTGTATATTTCTTTTTTAAGCTAGTCATTTTTATGGATAAACTGAGTAATTCTTGAGTTAAAAACGTTTTTTACAACGCATCAAAAGCGTATAGTTTCAATCACGATCGGTAAAAACTCATGTAAATAGACTTGATTGACACTGCATTGATTGCATAAAATTGTCGGTAGAGGGTTTTGGCAGTAGCAATGACATTTTTATTTTTTTAAATACTTTAGCATTAAGTATACACAGAAATATTGAAATACGATGAAATAAAATTTTATTCATTGGTTTCTTGTAATTAATTCAAAAAATAAACATCAATTATTTTTCATTGAAAACTTGCGCAATTTACCACCATAATTAACTCAGTCAACGTTTTATTGTTACGGTGGCTTAAGTAATCGTCGAGTACAAATAGATTGACAGATAGAAAGCAACACTTAGTTTAGTTATTGTTTCGCATTGAGAATCATTAGTCAATAGTTTATAAATCATTTAAACATAATGGAAGAAAAAATCTCGCAGAACGGCACCGATGATGCTCAAGATAAAAAATCGAAAAAGGTGGCCAAACACGATGGTGGTGTGGCCGATTTGGAACGCGTTACAGATTATGCCGAAGAAAAGGAACTCTCTTCCGCAGATATATCAAATGTAAGAATCCATAAATATAATGCTTTAACCTCAATTTAGTTCATCGTGTTGTTATTGTCATCAAAAAATATTCGATTTATTTGCTTAAAAATTTTTTTCTCAAATTTTGTGGATTAGGCAATAAATATTTTCGGTGATAAACGAAATAAAGAGGCTGCCGAAAAATTGGCCAAAGAACAAGAATTACAGAAAATTCACGTGAAAAAAGAAGACATTGAAGTGATTGTAAGGCATCTATTTTGTGTTTTGGTCTTCATTCCAATTTACTAATTAAAACGTATCTTATTAGGTAAACGAACTGCTCATCTCACGTCAACAAGCCGAAAAAGTACTGCGAGAGCACAGAGGAGATGTGGTCAATGCACTTATCGCGCTAACTAATTAAAATCCATTTTGTAATTTACATTCTGATTGTCTACCTATATCGAATAAAACACAACACAATTTAGACTAAATCAATAAAAATAAAGCAGTCTTTTTGTTGTAATAATTGAATCGCGTGAAATAAATTGGATTTTGAATGAGAAAAATATATAATATATATATAAATGTTCTGCCATTGGTCCATTTTATGATCAATGTTTTGATGTGAATCAAAGGCGTCGGTCTATTTCAGCAAATGGTACGAATTCACTTGATATTTTTTCTTCACGCGATTCAAACCTTTTAAATTTAATAGATGATCTAGTTTGTGGTTGCTAGATTTTATTGACTTTATCGAATGAGGAAATGAAACAAAAATATTTAAAATTTTCAGTTATCTATTTTATTTGAGTTATCCAGAATACTTAAAAAATTCATTTTTTTTTTCATTATGCGTCTATTTACCAGCTGGTATAAAATAACTGCTAAAACATCACACTGTTTGGTTTGAACAAAATATTTCGATAAGAATATTACCGTCATTCAATTCATTTGTTATGACTGTGTTATTATTTCATTTTATCATCAACTTTTGTGAAATTTCTATTGGAAAATCTCAAATCTATCAACTTTAGTTGTTTTACATTACTATTTTGTTTTTGTATCTTCTTATATTCCTGCGTTATAATTGCGATCTCAATTAATCAATCAAACAAATCAAATATGAAAAGAATCGATTTTTTGCTTTATTTATCATACTCACTGCAAATGTCATCATAATTATGTTTATGTAAAACTACAATGTTCAATGGGACATGGAACCGATCAAATTATTTACAAATGAACAAATGTTCCAAATGTGAACTTTCAAAATACAATTGAACTTTGTCTTCGCACAAATCACCCCAAATCGTTCGTTCAATATTACTTTTTCTTTTTGTTTTCATTTTAAATCAATAAAAGTTGATACATATAAATTGTACAATTGTTTCATTCTTAAGAGATTTATTTCTTTTGTTTGGTTTGAAAAAAAAATTGATTCATTGGAAAGACCCAATCCAAAAGATACAATTAGATCATTGTCAAATTCATTGAATCTCATCTTGAGAGAGAAAAAAATTAATCTACAAACACACATAAAAAATGGTTTCTGAATGCTGTTCCGTTGTTGCTATTGTTTGCTTCAAATCGTAGTACAAATGAATAAAAAAAACCATTCGATTTGAAATATTCAACTTTGTCAGTTTCGTTTCAATGTGAGATTCAAACATTTTTCCAATTTTATTCTTCAGCTTTGAAATTGTGTAGAAATGCTCGATGACATCGGCTTTTGGATGCTTTTGATGAAGGAAAAAATGGTTCGGTTTCACTTTAAGTTTTAATGACAATATTCTCTCATCGTATTTTGTATTTACATGTTTATATTTGTTATTTTATTCACTTTAAATTTCACACCATTTTTTCAGTTTTGCATTTATTTATTTTTTGTTGTTGTTGTTGTGTCCATTTTTTTCTCTTAATTTTTGTTTATGTACAATTATGTAAATACCTAATATTGCTATGTTTTCTTTTCTTCGTTATTTATGTTGAAAATTATATGGGTTCGATTTATGTCAAATAATGGTTGTGGTTTTTGTATCGCTGAGCTATATAATATATTCAATTGTTATTGTGTTTTGCCAACAATGGCTTTTCATTCTTAATTTTAATTTTAATTTATTCATTCTTCAATATTCTTCCCTTTTATCCGCCTCCCTCTTTCTCTCTCTAAATCGACGACGATTCAAAAATTTGTATATGAACAATTTGTATTTTGACTGCAAATCAAAAATCGTATTACGCTCTTTTCTCCATATGTTGATGTCGTTGAAACACTTTTAAAGTATCATAACACAGTGAAGATTTGAGTTACGTTATTCATTTTTATTCATCGTCTTCGTTTTCATTGTGAATATGTGTGTGTATGTTTAAATGATGTCTAGGTAATGTTAGCGTTTAAAAATCGCCACTTTCAGAGTGCTCCGATGATGCTACTGCTGCTGTTGCTGCAGCTGCTGCTGAAATGTCGAATTCGCTGTTGATATTTTTTTAGTATTCACATTGTTGTTTCTATTGTTGTTGCTGTGTTTATCGTTGTGTTTGATATTGTTGTGGTTATATGTAGACGCTACTAAAGCTTTATTTCAGCTCAGCTTAACGCGTTTACGGGGTGGACCAATTGGTGGGATTTGTTGTGTTGCTAACGCTCCATAAGCTTCAGCTATGAGATGTGGATGACTTGCAATCATATTCTTCCATCCTAATGTTTCTGTCACATCCGTGGGATGTCTGCCAATTATTATGATTCAAGTGAAGTGAAAAGAAAATAAAATAAATAAAGATAAGCATTTTTGGTGAATGTGATTCGTTAAACGGATAAACTTACGTGTTGATAAAATCTATCGTTTGGGCTTTCAATTGGTCTGCACTGTGTAAATCGGCTAAAATCAACGTATCGGCCGCCGTTTCCACAGATAGGTTAACACAAAGTGCTTCTTCGCACATCACCTTCAGTTTTTCCAAAGCATACTATAACCAAGTAAAAGAATTAACAATTACTGTTGATTCAAATAGATTTTTTTAAAAAATATTTTTTTTTATTTAAACGTACTTTGTCGGCAGCCGCTAATAAATCATCGGCCATTTTTTCGAGGTTTGGTGCTTTGCCGGTGTATATAAATCGTAACATTTCCTTCAACACTTCGTGATCAACATCTGAAATTGCTACTCGATTCTGTTTTCTTTCTTCCATTTCATGTTCAAACATTGCCGCAAACACAGGACTTCGTGCTATTTGCATTGCAAAAATAACGAGAGAAAGTGACAAACATTTGTTTATAAAGAAATATTATTTGTTTTTCTTCTTCTTTTGTTTTGATGGCACGTGGTGCCATTTACTTTTATATTTACCAGCTAAAATTGCTTTGTGTGCTTGGAATTCTCTACCGCCTACAGCTAGTGTTACATCACTGAAGCGCTCATTATCGAATAGATTGCCCAAATCTTCCGATAATTTGCATTCGGGAACTTTAAATTGGATTATATTACTTTGTCCGGAAATATTCACACTATCAGCTACAACGCTAACTTCACAAAATATTGTTAGTTTATCCTCTGGCAATAATCCATTCACTTCATCTAGTAAAAAATCTCGTCGAATGAACTTTTTGAAACCCCAATCTTTGCCTTGAACAAAACGGTAAGCCCTGTGCACAAAACACCAATTATAAATTTGAAAATGAAAACAACGTTATGAATTAAAATACAAACCTCTGTGATTCCATTGCTTTGGTTTCTTCTCGTTTCGCATTCAATATTGAAAATTTGAATTTGGCTCTGACCTCGGATTTATTACACGCGACTAATAGGAGATACAGTGACAAATAATCTTTACTTTCTTCATCTAAGCCTTTTGGATTAACTCGTAGGCACCTGCATAGTTTGACAATCAAATAAAATACAACATTTTTTTATTTAACCATCGTTCAAAACTCAAAATTTCGAATAATCATTATTGGATAAAAAATTGTGTATGAAACTGAATTGAAATCGTTCACAGCTACTTGTTACTACTAATATCTTTTTAAATTACCATTTAAGTTTGTCATTAGCACCAGCTGAAAATGTTGATGATTTTAAAACTTCTCCCATTTCCTCTCTACAAAAACTAAAATTATTTATTGTCCACATGTAGCTGAATTTCACAACTTTGACCTAAAAAAATGATTAAATCATAAAGAGAAGAGAAGAAAGAGAAAAAAAACAGCAAATATGTTAAAATCAATTTTTCCCAATGTGTGACAATCAATATATTGTCGCGCGCAAAAAAAACCCAACAACTATAAATGAAATTAATAACAGTGGTATTCAGTTCAATCTACATTTTCTTGCAAATGAGCACATGTTGCGCCGCATCGACACAACCATTTCAATCAACTGACAGCAAAAATATAATTATAATTGGAAAAAAAATCATTTCGAACAATTTGAAAAAAAAAAAAAAATATTACGTTGTCTTCGTTCGACAAAGTCAAAAACATTCCAATGCGATCGAATTTGGAGCGTGTGTTTCAACAAACATATCAATTCGTGTGTGTGTGTGCCAATAATAATGGTATGCTAATTTTCAATTGGAGCTTATCCTCATTCTATTATTATGTGAAAGAAGGATCTATGTCATGGACGTAAATTTTCCTCTTCATCCAGCATTGAATTTGTGCTCTCGTTCCATTAATTTTCCGCACTCTTTCCTTTTGTGTATGCTGTTGCTTAGTGTCAAATTGTACTGTCGCATCGTAAAAGAAGAAATGATCTTGGTTTCGCACACGGTAATTGCAGCAACCACAACAGTAACAGCACCAACAGTAGCAATCGCATGTACCAAGCAGTGAATGAGAGGAAAACAAAAAACACACACACACACACACACAAAGAAATAAATTGATTCGAATAGAGTGTTTGTTGGCGGCTGACATTCGTGCACATGTTGTCGTTGTCGTCGTCGTTGTTCGTCACATGGGCAAAGCAATGCTATATGAGCACAAACAACACAATCGACGACCGACCATGCGTATTGCGCACACGTACACAATAAACGGTCACACATACACACACCACTATTGCTTTCACTTCAGCAAATTTTAGCGCTCTGCTTTTAATGTTACTCGTTCGCTTTCTGACTAAGGCTCAGTGGTCTAGTGGTATGATTCTCGCTTCGGGTTCATGAAACTGCGAGAGGCCCGGAGTTCGATTCTCCGCTGAGCCCATGTGTTTTTTTTTTATTTTTATTTTTTTTTTTTCATTCATTTTTATTCCTTGCTATCGTTTGCAAATCGATTTTACCGCCAAAAATTAATTTTTATAATTATTTTCAATATATTACATATAATATATAAATACATGCAAAACTGATGCGATCGATTTTCATGTCACTCACTATAATGAGCAAAACAACAACAATTGCAACAACAGTTGAGTATTTATTTCGAATTTAAGTCGGCTTTTCTCATGCATAAATTCATTTTACCTGCTTAATTCTCATTCTCCCCAAATTGCAAATTCATTTATTTTCCAAAGGAATTTTGCTTACAATGGTCAGGGAAAGTAAAATGAGAAGAAAAACAAAAAAAAACAGCAGCTGTGTGCATTGGTCGATAGGAAATGTGTGCTTATTGTACAAAATATAATAAAACAAAACCGCAACAACAAAACAAAATCTTCGGTTGCACTGGAACGTGTTTCTTTTTTACAAGATATATTTCTGATCGATATAGGTGAGATTCTGTACCCATCAAATAGTGGGAACAATTAAATTTTGCACAAAACTCTTATAATTTATTGATGATCTATTTTGAATCGGTTCGACGGTTTAGAGTCAACAAAGAATAAAAACTAAATAAAATGCCGAGAATATTATGAAATAAATGTTTCAATTTTTCAACAGAAATATATTTTCTAAAAGTTACATTTCGGCGAATTGGTGATAACAAAGTTAATTTTTTGTTAGTTAATTGGAGATAATTCAAAATTACTATAATTGAAATAAACATAACAATTGAGAGAACGAAGAAAACTACCGACAGATCATGAATGACAATAACTAAAAATCATTATAGTTTTAAATCTAATTAATTTGATCCATGGGTCATCAGTGCGATGGAAATATATTATGTACAATTTTTAAATAAACTTGCCTGTGTGTAACACCAGTTTTCAGCAACTGGTGTATTTACTTCAGGGAGTGGTGGTGACGGCACACGACTCACTGCCATTTTACTACTACTTGATGGTAAATGTAGATTAGACGCAATTCTATCTGTTTGACCGGCCGGACAGTCACTTACAATCGGCAACCTGAGAGAAATTTCGAAGAAAAAAAAGAGAAAAGATGAAAAAAAAAAACTCATTTCACAGAAACATTAAAATATATTACAAATGCTATATGTATATTTATTTCTTTTTACACAATAATATTTTATTTATGTATGTTATTTGATCGTAAAAAATGTGCTCTGCGGTTTCTTTGTATGCTAATTGTGTTTGATCTCATTTCATTAAGGCTTTCAGATGGTTCATCGAATTTGTTCAAGATATTCAACTCGTTTCCTTTATAATGTGCACACAAAACGGAAATGGATAATGTTGGCACAAAAAGTGACTCCAAATTATCCAAAATTATGAACAAAAAGTGTTGGACCAAATCTGGCTAGTTTGATCGCTCTTGATTCTGTGCTACTACGATTGGAAAGTAGTTCCCCGAAATTTTCTCGGTAGATCAGTTTTTTTCCTGAGACCTTCACCGATTCATTCTTTAATTGTGTGGCCAATTAACGTGGTTGTGTTATTCGTATTGATGATTAATTCATAAATTAATTATAGCGAGCAAAATTACAATTGATTCATTCGAGTGAACGTTATGAAATCAAATTCCGTGATTTTATAATAAATAGGTTGGAATTACAAACTATTTCACATTTACTCACTCTATTGCTGTTTCGCATTCAAATCACGTATTTATTTAATTATTTTTTTTGTTGCTTTTTTTTCTGTATGCTTTTATTTAGTACTTGGTTATGTATTTCAGGGTCAACGTTGGACAACGCTAAATGACAATTTCTCATTGTGCATAGAGACATTTTTTTATTGGTTTTAAGCATACCTTCGTTGTATGCGGGTAATCTTCTTCCGTGAAATATAAAAAGTTAGAACCATGAAATTAAAGATAAATAATCAATTTAGAATATGTTTGTTGATATTTATCAATGAGATATAAGAACGCGTCCACTATGACACCAATAGAATTGTGTGTATGTGTGTGTGTTTAGTTTTTGCTTTGTTTTTGGATAAACAACGTTTGATCAAGTTTCGATGTCGTTTAAAGGTCACATGTTTTGAGGAAGCCATTCATTCGCCTGCTTATTATTGCCAATGTCAGGAAATTGACTTTATAAATAAATTCCGTATGTACGTAGCTGTGCATGTTTGTGTATTTGTGCATTTGTTTATCAGACCTACATGCACACACTCGTTATTCTAAGTCCACAATGCATTAGTCCAAAAATAACAAAACCCATATTTCTTCATCTCTCTCTCTCTCCCTCTCGCATAAAATAAAAGCCCGTTCAAGTGAACTTTAGTCAACACAGTGCGAACGAAGCATATTTAGATAGAATTTAATTTTATCCAGTTTAAAAGCGTGTCATACTTTCGAAGTATTTTCTTTAATTCCAACATTTCATGATCTGGTATTATGTCATATATTCTATTCAAATCATATATACCATTTGGATTTCTGTAACCATTTGAAAAATGCCAGCGACTATGAAAAAAAACTACAACAATACGACAACGGAGTGCTTTTCAAATTCGTTGATTTGTGTGCACTCTAATTTCATGTTGTTATTACTTTTTTTTTAAACAAAGTCACAAGCGCTCACCGTTGCTACTCTCTGTACATGTGTGAAGTGTTTAAGATACTCACTCTTAATGTATTTATCGCAATATCATGCCCAAGAGAAGAGAAAAAAAAATGCTACGAAGACCACGTGTAAGCAAATGAGAACGACATTTGAACTAAATAAAATGTATGTTGCTCCACTTACTTCGTTTTCTTTTCAATTCATAATTATTGTATGTATATCCAACATAGGCAGTCTCTCTCGCCGTATACAAAATTGTTATGTATTATGTGTTTGCATTTGAATTTGTATTTTCCGTGAACAAACGAACGAACGAAAAAAAAAATTGTTGAATACTTTTCACCTAACTTAAGCTCGCACGATATATACATATACATTCAGTTCAATTAAGTATCTTTTCTTTCTAGCTCACAGCATAACACATAATAAATGAAACGCCAGAGAGACACAGAGAGAGAGAGAGTGAGTGAGATCGAAAGAGAGAAAAAAAGCACCGAAACAATGCAAAAGCAGCTAACACGCGCGTGCGGTGCTGCCACACCAAAGAAAAACTACATTAAAGTACAACTATACTTAAACTTCAATTTTCATTTATCTCCGTTCAATTTTTAAATGAGAAATCACTTTGTGTGCTCACTTTTCTTCCCGCTTTAAAAGTAGCTTTGCATAGTATTTGATGCGTGCGCGCGTGCGCACAAACACATAAATACACACAATCTTGCGCACAAAACTAGTGGCGTGAAAGGTTGTAATGTCGATGTATGTGTGTCTATTATTATTATAATATTATTTCACCGATTTTATGTTGAAAAGCAAACACGCACATTCATTCAACATTACCGCGCGCGCAATGTATCTCAATTTAAAATTGAATGCAGCAAGTACATTTTTTTTCGTTTCATATGGTTTTTTTTTTTTTTGACATTTCGTTAGGCAAATCGCTTTGGTGAAAGTTAAAATTGCGAAATTTCGCCCGTAAAACCGAAATCGAGGAAAAGTAGTTGACGCCATTTACCAAGCAAGCATTACACCATACAGTTAGTTAGTCATATGCACACACACTCTCACATAAACAACATACATCGTGAGCTTATGCTCCTACGACTTATGTATTTATGGCATATGTATCATGAGACTGACCATTTATTATCGTTCCTAATACAAAATATATATATACTATTATGACTGTGTACATTTTCATTACATTGAAATATTGTATATTGTCATTTAAATTTTTGGAGCGATGACGATGTTTTATTGTGACATCAATTGTGACTGTGATCAACACTTGTCAGAAACGATAATTTATGAAATTTGAACATTATACGGTAATTGAAAATCAGATTTACATCGGCAACATATGAAAATTGGATTTTACAACAACATTTGGTTGATCTCTATGCGCGATTGGCGCACAATTCCAATATCCAATATCTGTTCATCTAAAATCGAAGCCCTCTTTCAAGTCTTTTGTTTAACTCATATTTGTCTCATAAGTGCGATTTGAGTGATCGCACATGCGCACCATTTTCGAATCACCCAAATTCAACTGTTTTATGTCTCTCTTAGCATCTTTTTTTTTTGGTAATTTGCTTTCTTCCCTCTCATCATCCGTCGATTAGTAGTGACTCTGTGCCGAAATTCATCAAATTATCCAGAGTGAAAAGGGGAGAGAGAGAGAGAGAACAAAAAAAGAAAAGAAATTATCAAGACACACAATGTTGCGCATTGAATACAAATAAATGAAAGGGAAAGGAAGCCTATACCGATGAAACCTATGGAAAAAAAAGAAAGACGAACGAAATGATCTGTGGTCTACTTTTCAAAAGTAGAAAGTTTTCTTGTGTAACTCTGTGATTCGTGTACGTTTCATCTTAAATTTTTTTTCGTTCATTTGTCTTTGTCTTGTGATGAAAAAAAAGTTGTAAGAGTGTGTACAAATACAAACACATACCAATAACAACAATAAAAAGTCCCTTCATTTTTTTGTCGTTTCATTTCTTTGATTCGTTATAATACATGATTTTGTACTTCTCCATTCATTTTCTGGACTAAACTTTGTGAAATATGCTTATTTAATCGTTTGAATAATTTGTTTGTTTGGAAATAGTTCCGTGGTGTACAACCACAACAACAAAAAAAAAGGTTCGAAGACGGTTGAAAGCGTAAATCGAACGATGTGAATGCCGAAAAGCGTTTTGCAGTTGCTCTCTCAAAATTGATTAGATACGTATCGAAAATGGAGAAAAAATCACACACACATACATACATGTTCCATACACACTTTCACATACGTTACTTAATGAAAATTCCATTTTCCACAAAAGCGTGTCGACATCGTTATTGTCGAATGATTGAAATCTCTAAATTTGATACATTTGACAGAGAAAAAACGAATTTCTTTTTTTTTTCTCGGTACATTCAAATTAAGACGTATAATCGTGCTTGTTCCCAATTTTGGTTTGAATGAGATGGCTCTATTACTCATAATTTTACCAAAATTGTCTAATTGCTGTTTGTGTCAAGCAAACGTCCGTGCGATGGTTCTTCTAATCAAAAATTCTTACGCTGTCAATTTAGCGTACTACAATAAAATGTGATCTGTGTGTCTTTCTCCCAAAAACAAAACAAAGCCAAAAAAAGAATAACTGTGATTTCTAATTGTGTGTGTATGAATCTGTCTTCTCCGCAGCAAAAGGCCGACGACGCTATTTTTTTTTTATTGAGAGAATGTTTCAAGGTCTGATTGATTTTAATACTGTATCAAAGAAGCAAACGAATAAATGCTGCGGTTAATTTATTATTAAGGCGTAAAAATTGCGACCATGTTATGAATATAAAGGTTGAAGGATTGTATATTATTATTTAGGCCATAAGAACTATTTGCTACTCTCACGCTATTTAAACCAAATGCACGGTTTTTTGGTTTCTTGTGTGTGTGTGTGCGTGTATGTGTTTCAATTTTGGAGGTTGTGTACATCAGCTGCAACAACAACACCACGAGAATCTCCGTCAAATAAATTTTGAACCGGATTAAAAAAAATATGCACAACGTGGTGGTTTTTAATCCAATTTACTGGATGCTGATAAAGTTGTCGTTGTTTTATTTATTGTCATTGCATTGATTCTTTTTTTCTTTCTTCTCTATTCTTCCACTGTACGATCCAACACAATTATCAGAACAAACAAAGGAGAGCGATTTCTCATTGAAATGAAGCAAACACATAAATGCGTTTCACTTTTTTTTTTTGGCTAACTTTCATTTGCCTGTAATAATGTATAAATGACCACTTCGAACACATTGTATATTTGAAATGGATTTGAATTTTTTGTTTACCGAAAAAAAGTCCTTTTCATTGCACACTTTCTGTTCATCTCCTTAAAAGCAATCCGTCACTAACATTTTTCTGTCCACATTATTCGATGCACCATGTAAGTAATAAATATATTGTTTTTTTTCTTTGTTTTTGTTTTTTTCACCCAAAAAAATGAAGAGTAGCTTTTCAATCGTCAGAAAGTGAACGAATACAGTAACAAAACGGCAAAGTCATGAAATTGCACAAAATTTAATAATCTATATCAATCAAAGTGGTTTTGTATAATTTCGTATGATTCAATGTTGCTTCAACAACTGATTGTTCTGCACAAAATTAGCGCGCACATACACTCTTAAATTTGTCAATAAATTTATCCTTTTTGTCTCGTACACAAAACTATAGATTGTCACTTAAACACATATCCACATCGAGGCAGACACACCAAGTGAGAGTGAAACACGGAGTGAAAATATCAAAAGAATTTCATGAAAATTATGCACATGTTTTTCACCACATTTACATTTAAAACCAACTGTACACTAGAGAGCAGATGAAATTGACTGAATCGATACTCGAAAAAAAAACACAGAAGAAAAAGAAATCATTTTATGAACCATCATCGTATTGTTTCTTAAGGCCCCGCGTCACTTTCGCAAGTGCTCTCTCACTCTGACTATCTGACTATGTGTATTGATGTGGCGGCAATGAGAACGGCTCAACGTAACCATACACGAGAGAGTATAGTCAACATCAAAATAAAAAGAGATAAGTTTCGATTTCCCTGGATATGTTGTACATTTGGCCCCGCGCGCGTTGATATTGCGACTACTATTGTTGTTGCTTTTGTTGTACTGGTGCTGTTGTTGCTGCTGCTGCTGTGCTATTGGTGTTGTGTGTGTGTGTGTGCGTATAAGCGCGCCGTGTGTATATTTTATTGCATTCAGAGTGATGTCGAAATATAGTTTGGTTCGGTTGCTCTGTCGCTTATTTAAACGCACACACCAAAAATACATGTACGCTCGCGGAACGAATGAAGAGATATGAAAATGTGTGTTCGGTGAAAACTTGAGCGAATTCATTTACCCACACACATACACCTATATACACGCTTAAATTGTGCTCATATAGAGAGAAAGAAATATGCTTATGAGGTGAATAGCATACATAACTATTTGGCGATTTGATTGTTACTGTTTGTTATAACAGAATACAAGAATACAATCCCATAAGAAAACAAATTTGTTGGATCATTCATTATGAGCAGCAGCAGCGTACAGCTCCCATTTTCTTCACTTTTATGTGCTTTTTTTGGTCGTCGTTGTCGTTGTCACCGCCGTTTTCGTCTTCTTTTCTCTGCATGTTGCTTATTTTAATCAGGCAGACATATCCAGCCCACGTATCCTTAGTTTGAATGCATTGATTTGAGTATTGAGTTCGGGGGCTCCCCACTTCCGTTCGCTTGCATATTATGAGCCTTTTCTATATATATGCATACCATACAATTTAGACATGAAAAGTTAGCGTGCTCTGAACGAAGGTCGAAACATTTCTTTGCGATTTCCTTACATTGTTTGCCACTTAACTAAAACTCATCCCATCTAATTCGTTGAATTTTATTGATCGGTGATCTTTAGTGAGACGAAACGGTACTGAAATGTATCTCTCTCTCTCTCTACTCAGTGTGTATGCACTTTCCAGCAGCCTTAATCACCATTATATATACGCGGAAATGTTATTTGAAAAGGTGCTACAATGCACGTCACTAGATATGCATACACATAGAAAAAGCAACTACTACGATGTATCGGTGACGGCAACAACGACAACAACAACAACAATCACGATGAAAGAATTAAAATTATTAACCTTGTTACAATAATAATTGTAATTACAATGTAGGTTAAAATGAAATGAAAAATTATGTTTATTCGATATTTTAGTATATAGGAAATATTTATCTGTGTGTATGCGATACACACTAATGAACCGCTGATGAGCGGAGCGGTTAAAGTTGAAAAATTCGGTTGGTCTTCAAATTGAATGTGTGAGTGTCTGTACGTTGTTGGAAATTGTGTTATGTTTTATTTTGTTCATTTGTGTCATTTGACCTAAATTTGTCTTTCATTCTTATTTCCATATACTTTCAGCTCTCACTCTTAAGTGAATCACTACATGTATGAGCTTGTTCGCGCCCGTTCGTTTGCTCGCTCACTCGCTCGCATACCCGTTTGTATCTTGATGGAGCGTAAGCCATTTTGTTTGTTTTTTTTTTTTTTTTTTTTTAAATACGTTGTGATGATTTTTTGTTTCCAATTTTTGGGAACCTTTTTGTGTCAATTGTTCAAATTAGGTTTTATGAGGTGAAGGTGTATGGGAGACTAATAGATAGATAAAATCAAAAAGTGACGAAATCACAACGAAAATCATCAACACATAAAATTTTTGGTTGAAATTGGCCTCCCATTCATACGTCCATCACTCAGAATTGCGGCCAATCGCACACACAACGGCATGGCGCAGCGTGGCGCGGCATGTTACAGCGCGTATAACATATACTACACAATATATGCCTAAACAACTGAATAATGTACACACATTTTTTTTTGAATATACTTGAACTAATAACGTTTATTCGTTATCCATTACCTCATCACCAAAGCAAAAAGTAGTCTATAAACATATTTTCTGTCGAATGAAAAGAAACATCGTTTTTTTTTTCATTGTAACAACAATAAAAGATATAAGTTTGTATCCTTAGATTTCAATAATAATAGTCACAAACGGAATGCTTTTCTTTGGCTTCTGGTTGTGCGAGCGAAAGAGAGAGATCGAGCGAACCAAAAGGGGAGAGGATGTGAGAGGGAGTTCCTGAACAACAATACATGTATTGCATACGTTATAAAATCTCGTTTTTATTGGTGTGTGAAATGAATAGGACAAGAGCGTCACATTGCTTTACAAAGTCCTCGAATTAACCGACTACAATCAGTATTTTTTTTCTGCATGGCAAAGAACTTCACTCGATATACTTTTTCCTTGAAATTCAAACTATATCTGCGTTGGCTTGTTGAAATTTGAGTATTTTATTTTTTTATTTTTTCCCTCTTTCTCTATCTCCTTCTGTTTATTTCACAATTCTATTTCTCAGTTATTACGCCAAAATTGGTGTCAAATCGAATACAAAAAATTACATTGTTTTTTTTTTTCATTGAAATTCGAGTCATTCTATCCACCTAATCTATAACAATTGATAATCTTCCTGTTCCGAATCATACTCAAATCAAATTTACGATGCTATTGTGATTGACACCAACGCATTGAGCTCACATAATTTTGTTACTTTTTTTATTATATTTTCATTGATATACTCTTGGCATAATTTATACATGAATAACACGTTTTTTTTCGTACGCTTGATTTTCAATTATCTGAATCTTGTCGATTTGTGTATCACTGATTTTTGTTGTAGGATAAATGAAATGAGAGAGAAAGAGAAACAAAAAATCGAAACTCGTACTGGGAAACATCAAATGTAGTTCATGGCCAAATATAATAAAATGTCGGAATTATAGCCAAAGCACGCAATATAGTGTAGTTTCATTACACAAGTGCGATGATATTCTTCTGTGTTACATTGTTGTTTGCAATGTTTTGTAGGTAATTTATGTGTATATATGTGTGTGGCGCGCGCGTTTTTTTTTTTTCAAAACCTTCTGCTCTAGGATATTTAGATGGGTGCTTATCTCTTATTTCGCTGTTCGTACTTAGGTTTGGTATCGTTAAATTTATATTGCTATCACAGCAATATCAGCTGTCGATTGTGGTCGCGTTTATAGCATCGGAATCGCAGACACATTTTATTGTCGTAATTTATGGTCTAAACAATTAAAGCATTAGAATCTGATCATTACCACTTTTTTTTTTGCAATGCCGATGATGCCGGTTTTAAACAAATGCGATGAACAATTTTTTATTCATTGTTTTCATGTAAAGCATGACCTTGATGATATAGTGGAGAAAAACTTAGCAATGAAATATCAATGAAATGAACGAACGAAAAATAAAAACGACAACAGCCGAGATAGAAGCGAAAAACTCCAAAGAGATTATAGGAAACTACAAAATGAGACCACGAGGGAAAAGCACCAGTTGATACTGTATAAAATAGTAATCGAGATCGAGAGAGTAACGATTTGAGTCGCTGCTTTGTGCTAACGTAAAATTCGACACATTGTGGTAAAAGCAGGTCAAACATATTCATTAAAAGTAAAAAAAAAAATGAGTTTCTATGTCAAGCTTTGATGCGGCTAAAATTCTTTCGATTCAAACAAAAAGGAGATATAGTTTTATGACGCGAATCGTGTCTATATATATACACGAAATAATTATTATTATCAAATTCATCGAAAAAAAGAGCAATTGTATACACGAATTCATCGAAAGTATCCAGTTTATGGATTTCATACATACACAGCATGGCATTCCATTCTTTTCAGCACATATTTATTCAGTAGTTGTGTTAATACGTAAATAGCAGCAAATCAAGGTGAATATAGAGTTCGAAGGATATAAAGACAAATTCTCTCTACTCTTTGTGTGTCTGTCTGTCTGTCTATCTGTCTGTCGTTCTGTCTGCATTGTATGGCAAATACAGTGAATTCAATATACGATGATATGACAATAAAACATCTTTAATTCGATGACATATCTGTGATGGTGTGTTTAGCAAAGATTCTGGCGTCTTCGTCGTCATCGTTATTATTTTTTTAATTTTTTTTTTAATGCAAAAGCAAAAGACTTTCAAATTGAGTTTTTACTGACCTTAAATGTTGCGCTCGTTTGCTGAGAAAGTATGTAGAACTTGTAACTTGTTCAATAATATCGTTCATATAAGAAATTGTTGTTGTTTTAGATTTTGTTAAGTAAGATGAACGAATAATGGAATTGAATTATTATTTTCTAATGGTATAGATGCTTAGGTTGAAGCATACATTTCCTTCTTATTCGTACAATGTGCATTGATTCACTCAGCCGCATACATTCTGCACAAATACACTGGTGACTAACGTTTGATTCAATTACTCCATCATTCCGTATCGATGGATCTCAATGCACAATGTCATTTTTAGTAAATCATTTTTTATCTGAATATTCATATGTTCTCTTCACCAATAATGTTATTCTCTGATTTGATGCGATTCTCGACTTGTGCTCACTCACACTTTTATTTAATTTAGAGTGCATCGAATGCTATTGTTCATTTATTTTGTTCAATACATTAAATCCAAAAATGTGTTTTAATATACAAAATTTGTGTTCGAGTCGTAAGTGGTTGCCGTCAAAACACGGAACAAAATAAGCCTTTGAGCCTTGATATTTTCACCACAATATTTACACTTTTACCCGATAAATATGTATATATGCCACATGGAATCGTCGATCAATTTAACGATAATTTGAACAGTAGACAATAGCAGCTCAATTGAAACCACACAAATTAAACAATAAAAAAGATGGCAAGTGACAAGAGTTTCACATTCAATTTTTGATTTCCAAAAAAAAAATACCGAGAAGAAGAGAAGAGATGAAATGACACTGAAACTATTGCATATCGTCTTCTTGTTTGTGTTGTCGAAATATCCACAAAATTATTGCGCTTTTCGAAGCATTTTATCAATTATATCGCACGGTATATGTTGAAAATGCCTTGAAAATGCTTCGACAGCTTCCTCTTCTTACTTTATTTTTGGGAAGCAATTAATATACCTTTGCAAATGTGGAAAAACATTTCACACAAATTGTTCAATTTCTTTTTTTTATTTGACTTTTTCCTTCACTCTGTGTATGTGTGCGACTAAGGCGCCATCTGAAAACATAAATTTCATCATATTTGGTGGCCATATTGTATCTTTTATTCGACTTTTATAGAGTTGCCAACTGTAAAATCTATAAATTCACACGATAAAAACATTCGTGTGGCGCATTTTTAAAATCGAGAAATTTTTATTGATTTAAACTTAACAGATATACGACTTGTTTTCAAAACTCATGAATAAAATTATGAAAAAAAAACTGAAAAGTAAATGATCTATTCGTTTTGTTGTTGAGAAAATTGTGAAAGAATTTGTGTGTTGATTGGAATCGAGACAAGTTCCGTTCCGTCATGGCTTCGTTTTATTTTTGCCATATTGTGATCGACGAATTCGATGAGTTGTGTACGCAATGTAGAATCGGAGCTGACCAGAAAACTTTCACGACATTTGTGGTACAGGTCTTTGAACGTCATACCTATTCAACAGAAAATGTTCATTGGATTTAACAAATGTTCAATAATTAATTTTCCAACAATTATCGCATTTCAAATCGATTTACCTTGATAGTTGCTATCTTTTTGATTTGCTATTTGATGCTCCACCAGAAGCTTGTAAATGCCCCGTGCATTGGTTGTTAATGAGCGGAATACATTGCTCATTGCAGCCAAATCCAATTCACCCGAATTCTGGAAGAATACCGAATTTTCGAATGCCGTTTCGTTTTTGTATGGCAACATTGTGGTGCAATCGTACCACACAAAATTGAAATTATCCATACATGTTTGATCCCACATCAATGGTGCATTGATGTGATCAATGGATGCGATCAAATGGACATTTTTAATTTTCGCTAAACGGCTTATGATGTGTTGGTCTTTGGTTTTGCGCAGCATTACACCATCAATATTATTGATGACAAGAAATATATGACCGTTCGGCATACCATCCAAAGCCGATGCAATCAAATCAACAACTTCGTGATCGTTGCGCGAATTTATGCTTATTTCCAGTAAATCCACTTTGATTGCATGCAGAATGTCTTTGATTGTAAGTGATGGAAAGAAACCATTCACAACAATAATTGGTTTGTTTGCCAAATGTTCGGTACAAAATGAATGCAACAATTGTTGCTTTGAACCGCAACCATAAACAATGATATTGTATCCTTTTAACATTTCGAGCATCCAACGATTAAAATTCGATCTAAGATCTTGAAACATTTCGGCAATACGGCGATCATGCTCTTCACTCGAATTAATTGAATTCAATAGGCTGAACAATTCATCGTGCTGCAGACGTGACGATTTTAACCGATCCAATGTGTGATCTGATGTTTTGCTCTGCGTGGAAAATTCATATTCATTGAATTAATTCGATCGATAAACAAAATCATGGAAATTATTTCGATTGAAAGTTTGATAGCACGAAACTCACCTTTTTGTTTGAAGCAGCGATGAAGTAGTTATCACTATCTAAAACCAAGTCTTCTTGCATTTTGCTTCCTCTTGTTCTTGTAACCATTCCTGTTGGTGCTTTGGCAGTAATGGTCTTCGATACTTTCAGTGGCGGAACTTTTCGTTTATCTTTCGCTTCAAATACATCTTCACTGTCATCCGAATTATCACTTTGTTCATCACTGCTTTTGCTACTTTCACTTGATTCTTCAGCTTCATAATCGGAATGTTCATCGGCCGAACTTTCAGATTGTGATTCCACTTGTTTTTTTCGTTTTTCAAGCTCTTTTTTATTTTTGGTGCGTGTTTCTTTCGGTGTGTATCGATTATGTGGGGCGCGTTGAACTTGTAAACGGGATGTTTTTGGTGTTTTTGGCGTACGCGGTGAATTTATTGATAACGATTCCATAGCATTCGCCGCCTTAGTTCGGGGCGTATCTTCTGCCTTTTTTTTCATTGCATTCCTCTTTTTTGGTGTGTTGAATGCATACAGATCACGACCAGCTACATCAGTTGCAGCGTCAAATAAAGCCGTAGATGATTGTTTGATCAAATTTTCATCATTCTCTTCTTTCTCAATAGAACCATCGTCTTCAGACATTACGTCGGTACCCTCACGATTCTTTGCCGCTCCTTTTTTTGGTGTCAACCAGTCTTCAATGTCTGCATATCGTTTGTTGGGTGTTACTTTGCGGCCGCTACTTGTAAACGCTACTGCTACATCTGGTGTATTTTCGCCTGAAAACGAATTGGAAGAAATATTTTTTTTTTCTTAAGAAAAATCTAAATGTTGAATATTCAATTTTACCGTTTTTTATTCGTAGTGATTTTCTTGTAGACATCGTTAAAATCTAAAGAAATGTGTTTCAGTTAACTGCAGCACAATAGCTGTTGTTTTGACAATCGATTTCGCGGTCTTTTTACTGTCGAAGGATAAGTAACAAACAGACAACGACATCTAACATCATTATGAGGCATTACAAAAAAAAAAATATTGAAATTGAAGTAAGTGCAAATCTAAATTTTCTTATCATTCTAAAAGAAAATAATTAGCAATTGAAAAGAGCCACTTTTGGTCAATAGCTGTGGTTTTGTAATATCCGCAGATAATTTGAAGAGAGAAAAGATAACACGAACAATCATTCGTAATTGGATGACACTTCAAGCAGTGCAATTTTCTAAACGTCTATTCAAAACTCCGAGGAATCAGAACCTATAAACAACATAAAACGGTAAGTGAAAGTCGATTTAATTTTAATTCGGCACAAAATTAAGCAAATAAATAACAATCGCATGAGATAAAATCGGTTGTAAGCGAAGTGCATCGAATTTATTGCTCATTCAATTTGGCTACAGATCAATTTCTCTCCTGAATTGATATGTGTAAAATGGAATAAGAATGTTTGACACATTGTAAAACATACTTAAATTTCGTTGACGTTTGGTAACAAGGTATTTCGATTGAAAAACTCAAGTGTCATTCTATCACTACGCATTATCGAAAAACAAAAGATTCTTTTTTATTTGTGTGTGAATAACATACGCTTTATAATTTTATATTTGATTAAAAAGAAACTAAAAGAAAAAAAGCATCAAAATGGTTATACCAAGCACATCGCATAAGGAAGAGGTGATGAAATTGATTGCAAAAAAAGAGCAAATCGAACGATCCATCAACGATTGTGGTCAAATTCTTTTGGCCAATAAAAATGTTGGCATGACCGAATCATTATTGGATTCCGAAGGTTTTCCTCGTGACGATATCGATGTTTATGCCGTTCGTCAAGCGCGACACCAAATAATTTGCTTGCAAAACGATTTGAAATCCACCATGAAAGAGATCGAAGATGGACTCGTCAACGTACACACAGAGGCAAGAACAAATCATGCAACAACAACAAAAATGTATGTAAACATTATATTCTTTCATTGGAGTCACATTTCCAATTCGGAGCACAGTGTATATTATACTAGGCATTTTCTCTTTTCTCCAAAAAAAAAAAATAAAAAAAAAAAATAAAGGGCAAACATGGAAATATCGCCTGATATAACACCAGAAGGGCCATCGCGTCGCATCGAAAATACATGTGAAACGCCAATACTGGTGGTTACATCGGTGATGCCACTATCGCCAGCTGAAAAATGTGGCATTCGCAAAGACGACGAAATTTTGGAATTTGGCTCGATAAACCATAATAATTTCAAAGAATTGAAACAAATCAGTGAACTTGTTATGCATCGCCAAAATCAGCAAATTGCTCTGAAAATAAAGCGACAAGGTCGTAATCATGACATTACCTTGGTACCAGAAGTATGGTCAGGAAAAGGATTTCTCGGCTGCAACATTATTATTCCGAATTCCACACGATAAACCGAAATATTTATCGATTGAATCTTTAAAAGATAAAAGCCGAGCACCTTCGCTTATTTCACGATCGAATAATGCTAGTTATTTATTCATATAAATATTTTTAAGAATATGACGTTACTTACACAAAAACCTTTTGTTACTATATTACAGAAATTAAAGAAACAATCTTCAATAGAACTTCGATTGTACTGAATTAAGAGAATCAAAAAAAAAAAAAAAAATCTTTCAATAAAATTGTGTATCAATGAGAGTTTTACAAAAGATAACTCCAATTTTATTTCTAGGACTAGTCGGTCGCAAAACATTTTTAACGGTCGCCACAGACACAGCAACTGCTTGTTCATCTCTTCCGAAATCGCATTGGTTACAACATTCATTTAAAATGTCAAGTGCAGCAACAACATCAACGTATACGCCTGGTGATAGTTCCATTTGCTATGTAACAACACCGAACGAAGAATCTGCCAAAAAATTGGCCAGAGATCTTGTTACATTAAAATTGGCCGCTTGCGTAAATATTTTGCCAAACATTCAGTCGATCTATCAATGGGAAGGAAAAATCAACGAAGATTTAGAATTGTTGCTCATGATTAAAACCAACACCGAACTCGTCGAAGAATTATCGACGTATGTGCGTGAAAATCATCCATACAGCGTTGCTGAAGTGATTTCGGTGAAAATCGAAAACGGAAATCCACCCTATTTAGATTGGATTACAAAAACAGTTAAAAAACCAAATGAAAAAAATAAATCATAAGTAATTGGCGCCGGAAAAAAAAATGTACGAAAAAAATTATGCATTTATTCAAAAAAGAGACTAAGCACAGCAACGGCAGAACACAGCTTACAGTAAAGTGTCAACATTTAATTTTGGTTTATACTTAAGAATACACTTTATCAGCATAAAGTACCAAATGAAGTTATTGATGTTTGTTTATGTTACACATATTTCTTTTGCCCCTTCAAATGTAGCCAAGTTTCTAATAAAATTTCAGTCGTTTATTGAATAAAAAAGTATGCTTCTGATTTCAATACTTGTTTTTTTTAATCATCGACATCAACTTGAAAGGAGAGTATTTATAATCAGCAACGAAAAAAATGACCGCATTTAGAATCAGAAAGCGTTCAGTGTTATAATACGACAGTATTCTCCTTTCGAATATTGCCAATTTGAATCTAGTTGTCACTTTATGTATAAAGCATCTCTTTCTCTCTCTCTTTCTCTCTATCATTACTATCATTACATCGATGGTAAAATGTACGAATCGCCAATTCTTGCGAAAAACAGCTGATTGTTCATATTCAAATAGTCACTTAGTTGTTCTTGACACTTGTTTGCAATTTCTATATAGTAAAAAAAATGTAACAATCATTGGCAACATTCATCACATATTTGGTATTTGCTCTTAAATTAAATCAATTGGTCACATTTAGTTGATATGTGCTCATAAATAAACTGGAAAAGAAAATTTATAAATAAAACGTTTTAATTGTAACGTGCCACGTACATTTTAACTGTTGTTTTTTTTTTCGTTTGTTGTTTCTTTGGTGGGGATGTGAGAAATAAATATGATTACTTGAGTATTGTAATCCACAAAGGCTTCTTGAGAGCCTAACAAACAACACGTTGTGAATCTGAAAGTGTTCACTCAATATTTTTTTTATCGTTTTTCATTGCCTCGAACACGTTAGGCATATATACATATACGTATTGTTTGTGATTCGATTCACATTTTATTGCATTATCCATTCTTGTGCATAAAATCTTGCGTTGTACCATATGTTTCTTTTAATCACGCCTTTTCGATTCGTTTAAGCTTCAACACAAATTTGACGTTATCATTTTTCCATTTAAAATTCGACAAATAGAAAAAAGTTACAAATTAAACATTATCGCTTCGTTAAAAAAAATTAATAAATAAGAAAAAAAACTTTTTTGGAGTCGTGACCAGGTAATATTTATGAAGTAAAATTTACTGCGGAAATTTGAAACAAACAAAATTAGTAGTTTCTTGCAAAAGTATTCGTTTACTGAATTTGGTTTTTTTTTCATAAATTTTATCTATGATGTTGAAACAAGTGAACTGTTGAAATGTTTTCAATCAATACATAAGTATATAATTAATTTAATACTGTGGTTGATGAAATTTGGTACATTATACAGTTGAAAATGATTTTTTAGTTGAAATGAATTCAAAACTAGAGTTTGCAATTGTTTTCAGAACGAAAAAGACCAAACGCTCAAATTTATATTGATATTCACCTGCAAACATAATACAATGAAGGCAATTAACTTGCTGTGTACATTTATTCTAATCGCATTTCGTTTAGTTTAATTTCATTTTATGAAGAGAGAAAAAACAGCGGTTCTACCTCGTGAATTTAAATGAATACAACGACAAAATATCTGATTTATGGCATGATTTAAATGCTGTAGTTGTTGTGTGTTTACTTGGTTTTTGCTATCGGCTTCATTGGAATTACGGAATAGAATTAAGTGTTAATGGTGAACTTGAAAATGTTGTTGCTTTTTTTGTTAATTTGGAACAAAAACTGTGATTGAGCATTCTATTTGTTTTGATTGTGGTTTTGTTAACGACTTGACCTGAATGGCAAAATTCATGTACCTGAAATTAATCTATAGATTCATGTAGTATAAAATCTCATCTCTAATAATCCGCGTCGATGGTTTGTGATTCTGTGTTTAATGTTTACCGTTTTGTAATATTGAATTAAAACTTCTATTATTGCTTAACAAACCTGCCTCATTCTGATGTTCCTCACTTTTATCCATAGGTTTTGTCATATACTCGGCAATATGAATAGGTACATAATTTTGGTGATATTTCTGGCATATTTTGCAAAAGACTGTTGTTTATGTATTGATGATGCGACTGCAGCCGTAACGGCACCGCCAAAAGTGTTTGTTTCACCCGAAAAATATAGACTACCACGAAGCATCTTTCCCGAATTCTATAAATTGAACGTTTTTACGCACATCAACGACGAGGAGGGCTTCAAGTTTTATGGAGACGTTCGAATTAAGGTAAGAAATTTTATTTAGGTTATTGAATTTTAGTTTCAATTAAATTGTGCATAATTTATTTATATTGATTTTTGCCAAACATTAAAACGGTTCTCTTTGCCATTTTAATTATCTTACTTTCTTTCGGCATCATCTTCTTATTGTCAATTCAGAATCGAAATTGCTAAATGGCAAAGATTTTGGTGATTTTTCCTTATTTTGTTCTTCAAAAAAAAAAAAAAAAAAACATCTGAATATGGTTATTATGAGTTCAAACTCCAACAACATCAACATCGATTATCAACTCTTGAGCAACAACTGCATATGTTGGATATCTTATCGGAAATTACGGTACATTTCTCCAAGACTCCAATAACTTGTTACTGCAGATGTTAAACTGGTTGCTCTTCACAATTTACTTTTTTAACGTTCGTGCCGAGAAATGAATTTTCAATTATACTTTTGAAAAATTTTTCCTGAAATTTTAATTAAATTATTGGAATTACGCTTTTTGTAGATCGGTGTTTAAAAAATTAATGAAATTTTTCAGTTTGATTGGAAAGATTCATAAGATGTTTATGTTCATTCATTACCCAATTATAAGCACGCAAAGTATGAGCGACAACAGAACGTTGACCTTTTAATTTTTGTTGTTGTTGTTGATGTTAGTTCTGTCGTTGGTGTAATTCGATTTTATCTTTCGTCTTTCTTTCTGTCTGCCATCGTTTCGATCTTACGCAACATACATAAGAGACAGATAATTGATGGAATTCAATTTGAATTGGTATTTTAGGTAAATGTGGTGGAAAATGCAAACAATATAACATTACATGCAAAAAATTTGAACATATCCAGCGATGATATCGTGATTCAACAATTGAATGCCAAAAATGAGAGAGTGTCTATCAATAGAACGGAATTCCAAGGCGAATTCGATTTCTTTGTGATACACACAAATGAAATACTGGAAAAAGACGCACAATACGAATTATTCATCCCATTTAAAAGCGATTTAAGCAAAGGCTTGCTCGGATTCTATCGCAGCAGCTATGTGGATAAGCAAACAAATGAAAAACGGTAAGATGATTCTACGTTTATTTATTGTATCTGATTGCATGAGTAAACGTCTCGTCTGTTTTTTTTTTCGTTGCTCTTTTTGAAGATGGATTGCTGTTACACAGTTCGAAGGTATGCAGTTGCGGAGTTTTTTTTTATAAGAAATAACAGTTTATAATTTTGATCTATAGCTACATATGCAAGGCTTGGTTTTCCTTGTTTCGATGAGCCCGATATGAAGGCAAAGTTCGATATTAGCTTAGGACATCACAAAAACTATACTGCATTGAGTAATATGCCACAAATCGCCTCGGAACCAATGTAAGCATTTTGCAATTTATGTCCACAGTAACTTACTGATAAGTGATAGTTGAGAAATGTCTTGAAACCCCAAATTCCTTTACTATCACTTATTTTATTGCTAAAGACATGACTTTGCCGCATCGATCGTTCACACTTTTATTTTCTGAATAATTTGTATGCAAAAAAAAGAAGAAAAACGTGTCAAACCTTCGGTTTTTTTCCCTCTTTTGTTATTCAGTGCAAACAAATCAGATTGGGTGCTAGACAAATTCGATGTAACAGTGCCAATGTCAACATACCTTGTTGCGTACACAATCAATGACTTTGAATTCAAGGAATCGCCTGCAGACGGTGATGTTATATTTAAAATATGGGCAAGACGTGATGCGATTTCTCAGGTAGACGATTTCAATGTTCCCTTTTGCCAAAAAAAAAAGTAAACCGTGTTTTTTTGTTGATTTTTTTATTTAGGTGGAGTATGCGAAATTTGTTGGTCCAAAAGTGTTGAAATTCTTTGAAAAAACATTCAAAGTGAAATATCCATTGCCAAAAATGGATATGATTGCAATACCCGATTTTTCCGGTATGTTTGAATCAATTTACTGTATAAACATTCATTTATAACAGTCATTATTTGTTTTTTTTTCAGCTGGCGCAATGGAAAATTGGGGTATGTCTCAATAAACTTGATCTTATAAAGAAACGAAATGATTAATATGAGTTGAATTTACAAAATAGGCTTAATAACATACCGAGAATCAGCACTGTTGTTCCAACCCAATATCTCATCATCGAGCAGTCAAAATCACGTTGCATCAGTAATTGCTCATGAATTGGCTCATCAATGGTTTGGAAATCTTGTAACAATGCGTTGGTGGATTGATCTGTGGCTGAATGAAGGCTTTGCCACATATGTAGCCAGTTTGGGTGTACAACATTTGCATCCCGAATGGAATGCATTTCAAGAGGAGTCACTTGAAAATACCGTATCTGTATTTGAATTTGATGCAATGAAATCTAGTCATCCCGTCTCGGTGCCAATTGCAAATCCAAATCAAATCTCTTCAATTTTCGATCGAATTTCATATGACAAAGGGGTAAATCGTCAAAAATCGTAAAACATCATCGATTTTTATTTTTTCGATTTTTTTTTTGATTTTTTAAATTGCAGTCAACAATTATTCGTATGATGCATTTGTTCCTGGGCCATGAAGTGTTCTTTGGTGGCATTAGCAATTACTTGAACATGTATCGCTATAATAATGCCGAACAAGATAATTTATGGGAGGCACTCACTCAAGAAGCACATAAAAATGAAGTTCTAGAAGCCCATATTACCGTTAAAGAAATCATGGACACATGGACTCTTCAAACCGGTTAGAACACACATATTGGATTATAAAATCGTAGCACTACGTAACATTTTTTGGTTCTATTTTAGGTTATCCAATTGTTAATGTTACAAGAAATTATGAAAATAATTCGGCGATAGTTACGCAATATCGTTTTTTGAAAAATCCAGCACAACCAAAGAAATTATCAGACAATGAGAATCCATGCTGGTGGGTGCCATTGAGTTACACAACCGAAGAAGAACTTGATTTTAATACAACGGAACCAAAAACATGGCTTGAATGTGATAAAAAAAATCAACCAATTCACAAAGAACTTATTGATTTACCGGAAAAAGAGGATTGGATCATTTTCAACATTCAAATAGCTGGTTTGTACAAGGTTCGCTATGATGAGCACAATTGGAATTTGTTGATAAAACAACTAAGTGGCCCAGAATATGAGAAAATTTCAACATTAAATCGTGCCGCTTTAATCAATGATGCTTTGGATTTGGCATGGTAAGTATTAGTGATGCGTAAATAAGCAAAATATGAAATTGATACGATGCATTTATGATTTAGGAACGGCGATCAGGACTACAGTATAGCATTGAAATTGATCAACTACTTGAAACAAGAAAAGGAATTTTTGCCGTGGAGAGCTGCTTTGTCAACCTTGAATGATATCGCTCGCATGCTTCGGCGCACATCTCAATATGGTGCATTTAAGGTAACTTTTTTTCGGAATTTCCTTATTCAAACTAACATCATATTTACAATTTTTTTATAAAGGAATATGTTCAAAAAATTGTGCATCCAATTTATCAACGGTTGGGTGGGTTGAATGCTGATCGTAAGAATGATGATCGATTGGATATAGTAAAACATAAGGTTTTGGTTTCATCTTGGGCTTGTCGATTTGACGTAGACGATTGTAAAGAGAAAGCTATATCATTATTCGCCAGCTGGATGATGGTTGAAAATCCGGAGAAAACTAATCCGTATGTATATCAAAAATGTTTTTTTTTTTAACAAAATGTACTAATAATATTTATTCAAAAATTCAGAGTACCATTGGACTTACGTTCGGTTGTTTACTGTACCGCTGTTCGAAATGGTGGAGATCGTGAATGGTCATTCCTGTGGGCTCGATACTCAAAGAGCAATGTTGGCACTGAGAAAACATTAATTTTGGCTGCATTGGGTTGCTCACGTGAAACTTGGTTGTTGCAAAGATACTTGGATTGGACTTTGGACGAATCGACCGGCGTTCGCAAACAAGACCGAACAACAGTTTTCAAGGTAGTATTACATGTAACTAATATTGCCTTCTGAGCATACATAATTTCTTTTTAACTTTTTCTTCTACTTCAAGAATGTCGCTCGCAACGATGCAGGTCTATTATTGGCAAAGGCATTCCTGTTCGATAATGTGGATGTCATCTACAAAAAGTAAATATCCCAATATTTTTATTTTTATGCGGAAAAATTGTCATTTATCTTTGTTTTTCTGTTTAGCCTACAACCTGAGACCGCCAAATTATCGTATTACGTCGATTATATTGCAAGAGGAATGGTGCACAGTAAAGAGTACGCCGAATTTGAGAATTTCTTCAAGACCAAGTCGGACATTTTCAGCAAAATCTCACGAAATGTTGAACAATCATTGGAGACAATTCGAAATAATAATCGTTGGCAAGAACAAAACTATGAAAAAATCGGTCGATTACTCTCCGAATATTAGAAATGCGATAGAACTAACAAAAAAATGAATAAACCGTATTATTGCGGTAGTTTATATTTGAAACAAAAAAGAGAAAGGAAACAAAAACATGCATGTAAAAGTTTCTATTTTTTGTCGTAGCGAATCGAACAGCCATTATTTATAAGACTTTTATTTAACACTTTGGATATTTTTCAATGTCAATAAAAAAAAAACTATTATATTCTTAATTTGTATTGTAACATATTTTATTCGAGCTGATAAGAGCTTCCGCTTCTAACTAGTCTATCACTTACCTTATCGTTCTTCAATTGTTCAGTCAATGAGTGAAAGTTAAACATCGAAAGATCTCTGTAAAAATCTAAAAGTGGCCTCTTGAAGCAAAAAACTTGAATATGTACATGTTCAGTGAATTCTTCGATTTATTTTGAAGATCATTTGAAATATTTTGTTCAAAATTTTGAATAGCATTTTGGATTTATATAAATTGGTTTGAATTTTTTTTTAAATAACAAAAACAAACAAACAAAAATATACTTCTAAGCAATAATATTTGCGTGATTTTGTTTTGTGAGTCTCAGTAGCGTTTCCATTACTTGAATTAATAACGAGTACATAAATAATGTGTTCATGCGTGTTTTTGCATGTTCTGTGTGAGTGTGTAACTTATGTATTTGTATGTGTGTGTGTGTGTGTTGTCATTTTATTTGTTTTTGTTTTAGAAACAAATCTACAAATATTATTGGTAATGCTACTGATAATGTTTGATGTTGATTATGGCCTTGATCCATTTTTTGTGTCATCATTTTGTTTCTCTTAAGTTCAATAGTAATTGTTGTTGTTGTTTTTTGACATGAAACATTCCTCTTGTAAATTCTAAGTAATGAATATTTTAAGTTGCGAAATTTTGATCCCTCATTCATAGCCTATGTACTGTTGCCTAAATATTCAATGCGATCCAAGGACATCTTTCCGTGCATAGAATAACAAATACGGCGTTATCATATTTTTCTTCGGTAACAACATCTCACGAAATTCGTGCTGGGGAATTGCTTTAATTTTATCGTCATCACACATATACCAAATCGGTTCGTTTCGTAATTTCTGAGGACCAACATAATTACTGTTGCCAATATCACCAATATTATTGCCGTACTGATCACTATAGACATTCAACATGTTGCACTTTCGCGATGAATGATCGGATGATGTGTGCTCGTTGTTCGTACCATTGCCATTGCTCATGGTGATGTCGCTGCCATTGCTATTGTTGCATTGATTATTTGCATGTGCCGGTGGTGTTTTCATTTTGATGCCACAACATGAATGACTTGGACAGAGCGTTTTTGATGGATTCACTGACGATACATTTTCACTGTTATTCGATACATTTCCATCGGAACCATTCATAATGCTCTTCAAACCGTTTACGGTTTTTGCATTTTTACTCATATCATTGTGATTTGATGAGCTCTTCTTTCGTCCCAAACCGATTTTTTTCATCACATTACTCACAGTACTCGTTGAATTCGCCGATGTTGAATTCGTCGAAAATGAATTTTGCCGATTGATACTATCTTCGGATGACGATGATGATGATAATGCAACCATTGTCGGCTGTGTCAGCAATTGTACATCTTTTCTACTTCGATTTTTTAGACAGTCTATATAAATGCTATCTTGGTTGAGCGAACATGTGTACGCAATATAATGTCCGGCTTGTAGCGTCGAACCAACATGCGTGATAACGCTGTACAATTTGTATTCGTGCTCTCTTTCTCGTATGGCGTTACCATAGTCCGATATACAATCCGAACAGAAACATTGCAATGTAAACGGTGTTGGAATGTAACTATTTATCTTCTCCATGCCACCACTAAATCGCTTCAACTGGATTATGAGTAGTCGCGGTAATTTTGGATAAGATATTTTCCTAACTGCTTCAGTTAAACCATTGCAATTCTCACAACGAAATTTATTATCACCTTGAAATCGTTCACGAGTTATGCATAAATTCTGTAAATAGAATAAGAATCCAAATAAGATTGTTTTCTTTGGGGTGCACGAGTGGTTGGTGCAAACTTACCTGAATAAATGAATCATTTAGGTCATGCGTTTCCATATTCTCTGTGATCGGTACGGCCAAATCAATCATTGTTTCCTTTTGTTCGGTTGTTGTTTCGCAAGCCAAACATTGAATTGATGAGGCGGTTACACCTTCGAAATCTTCACTAAAGAAATCTAAACCTAAAGCTTTGATTTTTTCCTGGATTGTTTGTTTGCCGTTTAGTAAATTCTCAACGAATGTTCCACCTGCACATGGATTTTTATCACTAACTGCATCGACGACACCACTGTTCACTGTATCAACAATGCAATTCAAATCTTTTGACGGTGAATCTGTGGTAATTATTTTGCTTTTTTCTTCTTTTCGTCGTTTATACGCCCAAAAAGGCTTTCGTTCATTTACCGGCGGAATGCTTGCTGGGGGTTTTGTTATTGTGCTACGTTCCACATTTTCATTCAGTCTTGAAAAGAAAATTTCATAGAAGAAAAAAAAATACATGGTCATTTAAAATGAAAAGTAATAAAAAAAATTGAGGAAATAATGTTGAAATTAAAAAAAAGAACCGTTTTCGGTGCTATTCGATACTCACCCACCAACAACAATTTCTGGATAATCATTTATGACCTTTGTCAATGATTGGCACGATTCTCGTATACTGTCCAAAATGCACATTAGAAATTCATGAGCGTCCTGTTGTTGATTGCCTTCAAATATTGGATTCACATCTTGTATCGCCTTCAATAGAATATCAGATTGATATGGTTCTATCGAATCGGCTATTTCATTACTAGTTAGGCTCTTGAATAATTCATGTAATTTTTCTACGGCTGTTTGTTGCGTTGTTTTGATTATTTCATAGGCGGGCGACGATGATGGTGACGATGATGATCCTAACGATACTAAATCTTTGCTACTGTAACTGCGTGAATTTTGACATTGCAAACTGCTCACGTTCCGTCCCAATGATGCGCTTTTTAATTTCATTTGAGTCTCTTTTCGATTGACAATTTGGGAAAAATCATTCACCAAATGATGTAAATTGTGCAAAAATAGCGGCGTAAATCTCAATGTGTATATCACGGAATTCATGTAACACGAATTACCAATGTTACATAAAGATGCCATTGACTGTGCAATGTCGCATAATTGATGCTTGAATGCATCATTGTTATGACTTTTATTGGTGGCACCATATTTACTGCCTAAACCGTTTCCATCGTTTGTTGTGCTATTGTCGTAGCGATAATCGTACGTCGACATCTTGTCAGTTCCATTAATAACGGTTTCAAATCGGACCAAAATCGGCTCTTCTTACACACAAAATAGTGACAACTAAATTATATATAGTCAACGTTTTAATCAACCTGCTACAAATCACAGCCTAAAGCAATTGATGTCCTTGTCTTCACTTTCTTAGTTCTATCGTTTCAATGTCTCTTCGTTTCGATCGATGCCGTTGCGCTTGCAATAATCGGTATCGAATTTGCCGTTCAGATTGTTTTTTTTTTGTTTGTCTTCAACTTCCCGTTATAGTTAATATCTACCACGTCGGAAAGCGTAATTCTTAATTTTGTCCTGTAAATTCGTCAAAGTTTTGGTATGATTCACGTACTTCGTCACATATCCCGATTGTGAAGTGGTTTTTCGACCTATAAAAAATGTGTCATTTTAATAAATAAATAAATAACAATTTAAAATTTAAAATTGACTTGATTACAAGAGCGATGAACAATTAAAATATTTGTAAAACGAATAAGCGATGATCAATTTTATGAATTTTGTTTAAAATCAAAGCGAAATAACTTTGAATGATAACTATTTGGGTTGCGGGTAAATACAAAACGTGTTAGAGTATGCGAATGCAATACCATTCCATACCTACATTTTTGCAGTGGTTGTTGTTGATTGGAACGATTATTTTTATTTCTAAGCAATGCTATCACATCTTCTTTTGTTTTTGTACGTGATTTATTAAAATGAAAGTCAAATCAAATGTTTATTGTATGTTTTTGGATTTTAATTAATTTTATTTTTTTTTTAAAAAGTCAATCGGTATTCACTAAATTGCAGATGAATCCAAATGCGCATACACAAAAGAAACTACATATGACTGACACCATGTTTTTTCTTCATATTTTTCCGTACGACAAAGTTGTGTATTTTTTTTCACACTTGCTGTTGTTGTCAAATTTAAAATGTTAACAAATAAGTTTTTTTATCGTTCAATTTTTGATTGTAAGTCAAGTGGCACGAAACATTGGCGCACATTAAATAATAGAACTCATTTTTTATGCGATGCACAAACAAATTGTTTATTTAGATACTCTCTCTTTCACATCAATAGTTTATACGAATGGAATTAGATGTTGCGAGAGAGAGGAAAAAAACAGCGATTTTTGTTTTCGCTATCTCAGTATTACGGTAGACTATTACTATTACATTTTAAATGTTTAACATTTCACTAAATATGTTTTTACTTCAATCAACTAAATAATAAAACTGATTTCGAATTCAAAATATTGCAAATATTGGAAATGTACTTGATGACAACGAGCAATATATATACATATATAATATAGCAGTAAATGTTCAGATTGTATGTTGAATTTGTCGTCTCTCATCACAAATGTGTGTGTACATGTTTGATGTTTTGAAAACCAATGTTGAAAGCACCGGTGGCACTATCTGCCATGTTTATGAAAGTTTTACACTACTAAAAGAACAGCCTAAAGTGACTAGTACTTAACGCAACACCGATGTGTTGCTATGACTCACAAAGTCTTTCAGGCCCACTGAGTACGGAAGTTTTGTAAACTATTAATGTTTGATCATCTTTGGCGATACTGTCATGTCTTTTGTATATAGGAACAAAAAAAATAAAAAACAAAATCCAATTTTTTTTTTAAATTGAAACTCAGCAAAAATGCGAATTTCAATTCAACCTTCATTGCAAACGTAAACATTTAACGCATTCCTTTACACGTAGACCGAATATCTATAATCATGCAAGAAGTAAAATGAAACTCTAGTACTTCACATGTTCACATGTGTATATCCAAAAAAAAATCGAATGGAATGACATTTGTTAACTAGTACTTTCGATATTGACATCTCCGTCTTTTCACGTAGAACAAACGTTAAGAATGGCAGGAGTAAGTATTTTCTGCGGTAAAAAATCTTCAATCATCATCGAAATCCGTGCATATTTTTCACCAAATTTCGATAAAATAAATAAATTAGTGATGATCGAATTGAATTTTATAAATGTTTTGTGATTTTTTTTGTGTTTCAGACCTTGTACACGTACCCGGAAAATTTCCGTGCATACAAAGCACTGATTGCGGCCGAATTCTCCGGCGCTAAGGTTAATGTTGCATCAGATTTCGAATTTGGCGTAACAAACAAAAGCGATGCTTTTTTGAAAAAGTTCCCATATGGACAGGTAAGCCGTATATTTCATGTACAATTTTTTTTTTGGTTAATGTTAACGAATTGGTACTCAAACCCGGTGCTCTGTTCAAGCTATTATGATGACGTTACACGTTCTCTTGAATATACGAGAAATGCGTTACCATACCGAAATCAATGAGCTATACATATTTTATGCATGAACAACACTGGCAATAATGTGCCTGTATTTCGTTTATTTCTCTGTTGAATTCAAGACTATTTAGATAATCGCAACTAATTGTTTTGTTGTTTACGGAGATAGAAAAAATGAATTCTTTTTGTCTGTTTTGTACTCATTTCTAACCATAGTACTAAAACATTTAAGGGGAATTTACATTTTCAATTTGTTTAGATGTTTCGTTGTTTCGAAAAGTGTGTGTGATTTTATTGAATTTCGAAAATATTACTTTAATTTATTTCCATCATAAACATGTAGATAAATGTTGATTTTTTTTTCTTTCATTCGATTTAATTTAGGTTCCAGCCTTTGAAACAAAAGACGGCAAATACTTGACCGAAAGCAATGCCATCGCTTTTTACGTGGCCAACGATCAGTTGCGTGGTAAGAGTGATTTGGAACGTGCTCAAGTTGTCCAATGGCTTAGCTTTGCCGAAAGTGAAATTCTTCCATACTCATCGGCTTGGGTTTATCCATTGTTGGGCATCATGCAATACAACAAAAATACCGTTGAACGTGCAAAGGATGACACAAAACGTGCACTTAATGTGCTTAATCAGCATTTGCTAAACAATACCTTCTTGGTTGGTGAACGCATTTCATTGGCCGATATTGTTGTGTTCAGCAACTTGTTGAATGCTTACCAATACGTATTGGATGCATCCGTCAATAGTGCATTCGGTAATGTAACACGTTGGTTCAAAACTGTGTTGAATCAACCACAAGTACAGAAAGTAGTAAAAAATTTCCAAATTGCCGACAAAGCCATCGAATTCGATCCGAAAAAATACGCCGAATTCCAAGCTAAAATTGGCGGTGGTTCAGCTAAACCACAAAAGGAACAACAACCTAAAAAAGAAAAGAAAGCAGCTGCCCCCAAGAAGGAAAAGGAAGTCGAACCAGTTGAAGAGCCTGATGCGGCCGAACTCGCTCTTGCCGCTGAGCCAAAACAAAAAGGTCAGTACGAAAACCATAAAAAAATCATTGGAATTTCAAATTAATTGCTATCATATTATTTAATTCACATAGATCCATTCGAAGCGTTGCCAAAAACATCATTCAACTATGATGATTTCAAACGTTGCTACTCAAATGAAGATGAAGCCGTTTCCATCAAATACTTCTGGGAGAAATTTGATGCCGAAAACAACTCAATCTGGTATGGTCCAGGGGCAAATCACTTAAAAATTACTTATTAATTATTATCGATTATTTTCAATTTTATTCTTTTCTTTTGTGATTCTCCCCTTAGGTATGGTGAATACAAATATGCCGACGAATTGAGCAAGGTTTTCATGAGCTGTAATTTAATCACCGGCATGTTCCAACGTCTGGATAAAATGCGTAAACAAGCATTCGGTTCGGTATGTCTGTTTGGTGAAGATAACAACAGCACAATCTCCGGTGTTTGGGTGTGGCGTGGCCAAGATTTAGCATTCACATTGTCACCCGACTGGCAAATCGATTACGATTGCTATGCATGGAAAAAACTCGATCCAAAATCTGAAGAAACAAAGAAAATGGTTGAAAATTACTTCTCATGGACCGGCACTGACGCTGGTGGCCGCAAATTCAACCAAGGAAAAATCTTCAAATAAATCGTTTTATTTCAATAATTGTTTTGTTGCGCGAATTTCAAGAGAACGCATTCATTATGTTTGAAAACCTAACTGAATCCATATTTAAATGCTGATGATGCAACATACATTCGATTTTTCACTCAAAATTTTAAGAAATCAATAAAATTGAAATAAAAAAAAACAACAAACACGACGATTTTATTTTTTCTCTATTTGTAAGGTGTTACAATGTGTTTTGATTTATAAACATTTTTGAGATTATGTATTTTCAGTCGAATTTCTTATTCTAATTAATTTTATCGTCTACAAATATAAATGTCGCCATCTATATGATTGATGTTTCTACATTAATTGAATGATAATGATAATGTACACTTTTTTCATCGTACAATTTTTTTTTTCATTCTGGCATTATTACAACTTTAAATGTTTCTTTTTGGCAACGTTGGAAACAATTGCACACAAATGTATAGGAAAATGTGTTGAATACAAATTATTCAACTTATAAATATAATCACAATTCATGCTATGAATTTTGTTTATTTTTAATCAGTTTTCTTTCGCTTACGTAGTTGGTATCGATTTGGTGACATAGTTGAGCGGTTATTCAGTCTCTCGTTAAAACTTTGACTTAATCGCTTTTTATTGTGTGAAATGTTTGCTTTCGTTTCAGTTGGGGATTGAATTCTGGTTCGCAGTTGGTATCGATTCGGTGAGAGGTCTGAACTATTTTCGCTGCCTTCAAAACGCTGGTTCAATCGATTGGAATTGATTACAACAAATTGACTAGAGTTAAAGTCCGGTGTAGCCAAAGGCAAATGTACGGTTTCATCATCGTCACCATTTTTTCTCGATGAAGATACTGAACCTTCGGAAAATAGATAGTTATATCTCTCATCAATATTTGTTATATTCCTATCACCCGATGAAGGTTCCGATTTTGTTTCAGATTGATGGTTCGATTCAGTTTCAACTTCGACGACCATGGCAATACTTTCATCAGTCTCAATTGCATTTGAAACATCTAAGTCAATTGGACTTGATTGAATATTTCGATTTTGACGCAATTGTTGAATGATTGGCGTTGCCATTACTGCGACTTCAGATGCATCTGTTTCAAAGTCTCCTTCATTAGCCGATAGAAATTCATCATCATCCTTATCTTCGTCATCTTCAGACGAGTGTTCATAAATAATGCGACTATCATGTTCGATTTCCACACCATTCGATTCGCTATGCTCACTGTGAACTGAATTATTGTTATTTTTTTGTGTTTCAATCACCGTTAATAGTGAGCTCTCCGAATCGCTTGACATTTGTTGTTCGGGCTGCTCCAATTCTCCCAGCGCCTTAATGCGATTGAAGCATTTTTTAAGTCTATATTCTTCTAAGTACGGGGCTAATGCAAAATTTGTTCGTATTTTCCGTCTTGTTTCCAATCGATCCTTGTCGACGTACTTTTTATATAATTTGACACCATATTTAACCATTTTACAATACATAATTCGTCTTTGTTCATCGGATAAATCATCTAATTTATCTTTTTTGAATAGGAACTTGGGCCAACTTTTCTCAACGCCATAACAGACATTCGAATGAAATAATTCAACTCGACACGGAACCTTCTCACAAAGCTCCATTTGCTCGGTTTCGGTAATTTTCAAATCTTGAGCCTATAAATATTTTCTTTTAATAATATGTTGTGTATATTATAGTATATTATTTTGCTTACTTCATCGTCGTCCAAAAAGGCATCGGATTGAGCTTGATTTAATTTACCAAGATTTTCGAGATGCCATTGGGAAAAACGAGGATTCTCCCAATCGATTATCTCCATAAACATTTTAAAAATAATTATTTTTTCGTCCAAAAAGAAAATGAAAAAGAAAATTCGAATTTTTCACAAAGATACAGTTTGATGTTTGACGTTTTTGGTCATTGTACTAAACTGTCAAATTGGTTTTTAGTATTTTACCAAGTACTAAAACTTGGAAAGAAGAATTCTGGCTTTTATTTTAATGTTTTTGAATTCTATATGTTCTAATTGTACTGGGAACTGAATAAGTCGATGGTCACTACGACCAAATATAATTGGTCACTACGACCAAAATTGTATGCGAAAAAATATAAACAGTTCAGATTTTCAAACATGTGTGAGAACACAAGGGAAAAGTATCACATACATCAATTACTTTATTACAAAACTTGAAATTGAAACATGTATTCATACTTATTTTCTAATTAAAAATTGTGATATGGATACATGAATCCGTTGGGTTTAATTTATTTCATGCGATTTCATCAATGCAACTTTAAAAAATTTAATTAAAATTAAAGATTTTTTTTTTGGATGCAAGCAGTGTGAATAATATTAAACCGTTTATGAATGCCAACACAATTAATTTCATTTTCTCTACGTTCCACTAAATATCATGTATAATGCCTCAGACAGAAATTTGAACCTTGTTACAAAAATAACCTTGATTTATTTCAATTTTTATATCTATCACACTCCGATTTCGTTTCGTTCATGTCCATATATAATTCGCGATGCTTAATGTTCAATATATTTTCAACAACCCGTTGAATGTTTAATATTTGTCAAATAAATTTCATTGATGATCAATTCTTAAATTCAATCGAGTTTTGTGTATGAATCATCGTTGATGTGGTCTCAAGGGGATTAAAACCAAATCAATTCATTGTCACAGGAGTTTTCATGCAAAACCTATCAAATGCAAAGCTTTCCCCATTCCTAATGGTTATAATTGTATTTTGGTTGCTCCATCGAATGACTCATAAATATGTGCTACATATACTTCAAATGTTGCAATAAAATCCACAATTCGAAATCCAAATAGTTCAGTTCCAATATTATTTTCATTATAGTGCAGCAATTCGTGCGAAACTATATCTATCAATGCCCGTGTATTGACACGTTCAAAGCCAATTTCTAGTGAACCGATTTGCAGGAAAACAGTTAAATGGTGCAGAATCGAATATTTCTTCTGAAAACTGTCATTCAATTGATGTTGTGTGTGTCTCTGTTCTCAGTATTTACATAAGTTTTGAAAAAATTATTTTTTTGTGAATTGCATTTTTTTCAAAAAAAGAGAAGAAAAATCTTCTTCCATAATTATTTTTTTTGTATTTTGTGTAATCTGTATGATATTTTTAAACTGTTTTTACGTAAAAATAAACAACGTTCATCCCCATCTTTGTTCATTGAAAATGTTTGAACGATATTTGATTAGGAAATTTGTTCGTTCATGTTTCCTTTTTTTTGCTCGGACAGAATGAAAATAAAACCCAGTGAAAAACCGATCTGCATATATAATGAATGAATGCATAAAATGTGATAGCCTGTGTTCGGACCTCCCTTTGGTGACATCAATTATGATGATTATTTTCTTCATTTCCAAAAATAAATGGAATTATTAAAACCATTCTTGGCCAGAGGCGATTCGGTTGGACTTTTGAATTCGATATCTATTTTTTTTCCAACTCGGTAGCAACGACAACAACAAAAAAGGTGCGTGTCATGAGTATAATGGTGGTGTTGATATTGTTGTATTGAGACTTCACTTGGTCCGAATGTTATTAGAGGAACCCCATTGAATTGTGTAGCATCCGTAATGCTGGATTCAACCATAATAATAAACACCATTTACTAGATTGACGACTCATATTTCGCCAATGTATACACATACATATTTCAATCACCATACACTGCAGACCACTTAACAACAAAATACGCTCTCGATTATCCGAAATGCGATTTCGATTCATTATGGGCCTTTTTTCTCTCTCTCTCTCTCTCTCTCTCATTCTGCAACTCCCAATCGACATAGGAACAGATAACGTGCAATTTCATTATGAATTTCATTATTAATATCATAAATGTTTTGTTAGGCTGAAGTGCGTTGTGATTGCATATTGGGATATGCGTTCATATGTAATTGCCGAATGGATTCAGTTGTCCAAATACATTTTAAAGATGAACAAGCTCGAAATACATATAAATATATTATATATTTTTTTGCAATGAATCCATCAGATGCGACAGTAAGACACAGATTCACAAAAAAAAGGAGTGAAAAGTGATTGTAAATATTGGCAATTATGCAAATAAATTGGATTTATGCAAAGGGTGCGCATGAACTAAGTGCATGTTATAACATGAAAACGACAAGAACGAGAATTTGAAGTGCATATTGCCATACTTGAAATGATTTATGACATAACATTTTAGGGGCCAATTACTGTATTAATGTGAGAGTTTGGAATGAGTTCATATGCGATATATCGAAGCATTGCCAATATCGTACTGTGAACAACAACATAATTGGCTATTTGATGTCGCTGGGATTTCGACTAAATGGGTAGCCTAAACTGCTTAATTATAGTCCATTCTCATTATTAGTTTTTTTTTGTGTGCAAAATTGTTGTATAGGCCATGTTTCAAGCCAAATCGATATTCAAATTACAATTTTATGTTTTGTTAATATCGGCGAATATATCAACAATTTTCCAATGATTTTTTGGCAAATGAACGACAAAACGAAGGGTACTTTTTCTTCTTTTTACCTCATTTTCATTTTGAATTTTCCATGCATGACCACTGGATTGTACAACATCGTTTATACAGATGTAATACTTAAGAATATATATAGTTTTGAACCAAATATGTACCTTTTTTACATCTTTTGCCTTCAGTTTTTTACTACCTCATGATTTGCGTAGTATCTGTTACAAATATTTCTATAACAGAAGAGCATGCAGATGAACATCAAATACAGAGAAAGAGACAAGTAAATAGAGCACAAATAAGTTGCAAACACACAAAACATTCGCTTTTGCATTGAAGTTACTCTAACGAGTTTTCCTCTCTGGATTTCTCTTGATATTTGATAGTCTAGAGCGTTCTTTTGCACACAATCTCCATTTTCATCATCCACATTCAAATAAAGCATTATGAAATTGTTACTCAATTCCTTCCGCTTTCAATACGGTATCAAGAGTCTATTTTCGGAGACATGTTTGTGCATTCTCTGATTGATAAAACATTTACATGGTTTTTAGTTTATTGGTTGGTGCTTGGTATTAACAGAAACAGTCGATGGCTTGCGTACAAAATGCCAGAAGTTTTCATATTTTCGCCAATTTTTTTTTTCATTTTTTCTTTAATTGATGAATCAAATTTGAATGAATCTGTCCATCAACAGATGCATAACTTTTGTGAATGTTTGTAGCAGAAGTGTTTGTTATTGATGAGATCAATAAGAGATTTTACCACCAAATATGTGTTCCAACAATTCACCATCGTTTTTTTCTTTTCAATGTACCCATTTGTTGGGATTTTTTTATAAATTGGATATTGATATGCAAGTTTTATGAGATTCAAAATGCTTTTATCGTTAATTTTCCAATGGTGCCAGAACAACCGTAAAAGTGGCGAACATCAGTAATTATTGATTCTCGTGCGAGTAATGTTTTTGGTGTATTGAATTTTTTTGGTTTAAAACTAAAAATAAATACTTGTGATCTATTTTGTGTTATACAGCCAAAATTACTTTTACCGCAAAAATGTAAAAGTTCCAAAAAAAAACCACTATTAATATTGAATATAAAAATTAAATCGTCAAAATGCCGACGATACTTTTTTGTCTATCAAATTTATGTCTTTGAATCCGCCATCAGTATTTTTAATTCAATTTATTGTCGTCCAATAATCGTAAAGCATTCCCTACACCTCCGCACAGGAACCAAATAAAAGGCTATGGTTATACTTCATTTCCCAATCATAAACGAAATTTAAATGGTTTTATTTAGCTTGGTTGCCGATTTGATTTATTATCCAGCGACTGGTAAATAGAAATTTACACACATATTTCATATTTTCCAGCATAAAAACGAAATAACGTGATGAGCATTGAGTTAAATTTGGGGTTTCAGGTTCGCATTTTGGTTGGTTCGCATTCGAAACCAAAGAATGTTATTGCAAAATGACATTACCGTCGAGACAAGTGATAATTTCACTGGAAAAATCATTGGTTTTCCGTGGCCCATGGCATTTCATAACAAGCTCAACTCTCATAGGACGAATCAATTGGCGAAAAAGGTAAACCAGATCATTTCCAAAATCAGGGTGTAAACGTTACGTGCATACACAACACCCAAATACACACAAACATGACATCACTATAAAGAATTTGAGGTTTTTTTTAAATAATTTCAGTGTCGCTGCCGATGAACATGCCACACATTTCAGCCACAATTTTGACAGGCATTTCGTTACAAAATTACCGACATTGATCGAATTTATTTATTTATAAAAAAACGCAATCTCTGTAAATAAAACGAAATGTGATTATCGAACTGTGACAAATGCATTCACTCAACACTTAATTTCTAATATCGAAATACACATAAACGAATTTTAAATTCAAATGCATTCAATGAAATATTTCTTTATGTATCCCGGTATTCCAAAACAATGATAAATTGGTGCATTATCCTGAATTATGTAAACCTTGAATAACACTTTTCTGTTGAAAATTGTTTTAAACCATTTTGTTAACAGAGATTGTACAATTTTAATCGATAAAATGAAATATGAAAAATTGCGAAACTTTGAATTTTAGCAGCAAACGCTTCATGCAGAATATTTTATCATTTTATTGGTTTTTAGTTAACATATCCCAAACATTTCGGAAACGTTACAGAAAAGACGCATCGATTCAAGTGACTCAAGTCAACTGCTATCGAATCACTTTCGCGACTATTAATTTTGTTCATTGCCGTACTCTTCTCTATTTACACTATTCCAGGAACATTGTTCCCACTGTTGAAACGCCTTAAATAAAATCAACGAGAATCCAAAAACTTTTTTTTTTGGTTATAATAACTTTCAAAACAAAAAGGAGAAACAAAA